CACCAGCAATGTCATGGGGAATTATCATTATTATTATTAATAATAATTTATTAGCTCCTACAACATCCAGATACTTTCCCAGCACAAAGGAAAGGAACTCTGTGCTCTTGGGGCTATATATTTCTATATTGTCTTGCTCCTGAGAGTTTATACTAATTTAAAAAAAAAAAACAGCCCTAGAGGAGGGAAAGCATGAGCAGAAAACACGATAAGCACCCAGGTGATATCTGGCCACAACCTGGAATACAAAGTTTTAATAGCACTGTACTGGGGCAGTGGATTCTCCTCCTGCCTCGTTCTGTTGGCAGATGTGGGGATCCTACCCACAGCAGCAGGCTAATTACTGCTAACTCACTAGGGCAAGCACAGATCATTAGACCTCACTCTGAGCAGGATATCGTTTTGTCATTTGTTTGTCAAATGCTCTTCTCAGGAGTGATGCCCTATTCACTCTGTGAGTGTTGATTTTGTTTGAGGCAGAGACTCCTCTTGCTTGGAGACAAGATGTTCATTTCTCTCATACGGAGCGAGGGTCCATCCTTCTTGTGGCTGTTTTTGCGCTGCTTCTGCTGAGGCGTATACTGATGTTTTAAGTAGCTGTTACAAGGCTGTGAAACCAACTGTGACTGCTACTTTGCTCTTATCTGAGGGGCAGGATAGGATATGTGACCAAAGTGTACTATATGTCCAGCCATTGCAAGAAAAGCCCCTGCTGATCATAATCAGGTAGGTCTACGCCTACATAGCCAGGAGCAGCCTGAGAAGGAGAGAACCGCAGGGCGACAAAACTGCACTTTCTTGGTCTGAGCTGACAGTAGTCAGGACTGTCTATAGCACAGGCTGTGTCTATACCAATTAACAGAGAATGCTCTGGCCACAGGGGCCAGCTGACACATCTCTGCTAGTGAACCTTCTTAGCCACCAAAAGAGAGCAGCTGCCTGGAAACTGCCTACTAGGCTATGGTCCTTGAAGCATTTTTGCTCCCAAACTGTGCTGGGAGTGATCAAGGAGAATATTAATTGACATAGGCCAAAGTGCAGCAAGGATTGTTCCAGCAGTATAACAGCATAGATGATCTCATTTCAGCATCCAGGAATGTTTGTGGACGCTCTGATTTATCAATATAGATGCTTCCATAAAAATCTATAAAAAGAGTAATATACAGCCTTAGAGAATAATTTAAAAATCACTTCACAACACTTGCTGAGCTAGACTCATCTCCAGGAAAATCATGGGAATAACACTACGTATAAACCTCATCCAGTACCTTCTAAGACTCCTTTTCAGGGACTTTTCTGGTAAAATTACACTTGTATTATACACAATGTCATCTTAACAAACTAAACACAAGCTTAGAAAGTTATACGCTAAGCTCATAAATAACTTACTTGATCTGCTTTTTCATTTCGTTTACATGCAGAGCTTTTGTTTGCTGTTTCTGCTGCTCTTCCAGCTTTGAATGCTTCTTTTGCTGATTATTATAATGTGCTTCTAAGTGTGCATACTTGTCTTCTGTGATAAGTCTGCTGAGCCCTGTGTCAGCGGGTGAAAACTCTATCCCCAGTTTCTGTAAAAATTCTTGGTGAGTAAGATATCTTTTTGCATCTGTATCATACCTTGAAAAAGAAATGCTCTTTTTAAATATTCATGTATTCCTCATAGAAAGGCATTACAGATGTCCTTAAGTGACTTAGCAGCTTAAATCTCACTGACTTCCCTTCCTTACAGAGGTGCCATACCACACTGAGAACGAGTGAGTGACTTTATATGAGACTCAAAAGATAGAACTTATGCTTCATAATCACACAGTCATTTCTGAAAATTTTACCCTGAGGACCAAATTGTCAGGAGCATTCTCCAGCTCTCAGTACAGCTGTTTTGCAGTGTCTAACTTGAGACACAGAGCCCTTGACTTCTAAAACTTCAGCCCCAAATGTCTCAAACAGGTCACACAAATCTGAGATGCTCAGAACTGTAATAACCCTTCAGCAATATACACTTAACTTCATAAACATTTTTCATATTTTCATAGATATGAACATTTCCATAGGTTTATCCCCTGCAGTCTCTCCCACTGCTAGCGCTCCGATGCATGGTAATGCCTAATTTAGCCTCAGCTTCACTCTAATTCCTTTATTCAACTTACAGACATATCAGGCACGTAAGAGATTTTATCTATTCTATAAAAGCAGTGGCTTATGGGAGTGAAATTGTGCAGCAGATGACTGCATGAAAAGGATACTCTTCAGTGTGCCACAGCATCCATAAGGAATAAGAATGGAAAGTAAAATCTAATGGAGTAGAAAATAATTCAGAGATGAATCAGTGCTAAGAAAAAAAACATATAGTTAATGCAGTTTGAAACCAAGATGCAATACACTTGGGTTCTATATGTTGGAGAAGGTGATTATTTTTTTAAATAAACCTGTAATGAAGGTAGGCTTTTATATAATGTCACATACAGCTGACATCCATGCCATTTCAAAGACTGTTTATAGCACAGCTCTTCTTAGCTGAGAGCAGACAAGTATTTTCCCCCCACTTCACAACAAATTACTTGTCTATAAAAACATTTCATGATATTACTTGCCATCTTTACACAGCATGAAATTACCTTTCTTTCTTTTGTTATGTATTTCGTATGTAGCATTTTTCTTTTGACTGAATCACTTTTATTTAGGTTGAAAATGTTGCAAGTAAATTTAGTGCTCTGAAAAGGAGAGGCTGGTAGTACTGACTTCAGACAGATGTGTAATACAGACACTCTATGGAGCTCCTTAATGGAAGTTTTGTGTGCGTTTCCCAGCTGACCTGAGACACTTGGAACTGACTTTCACTCAGAACAAACTGAGGTAGGCATTTGCGTGTATAAACAAAATTGATGAAAACCAAGCTAATTTAACTTGTGACCCCAAGGTGCCTAACTTGTGACCCCAAGGTGCCATCCAAGATGAATGTGTATATTAAATTAAAGGGATCAGTAATACTGAAGTCAACAGAAATCCTGACTGTGAATTCATTGGAAACTGATGGATTTAATTGTATTCTTGAGCTTAGTACGATACAGTGTAGCTTCCTGTAACACAGTGTCAAGATCTAAGGTCACAATCATAACAAAATAAAAGTTTTCTTGTGCAGTGTAATCTATTGTAATTCACTGCACTGCCAAAGGCTCTGTAATCCTATAAAAGATACATTATTGCAAGAGCTAATCATTTAGGGTTGTCATACCTTGCCCAAAGCTTCTTAAATTCTTCTGGGGTGACTGGAATGCCAAATCTGAACAAGACTTTTTTCAAATCCTCTGGCTGTATAATGCCATTTCCTTCACTGTCGTATTCCTGAAAACTCTGGAATGTAGAAGAAATCATCACTAACAAGAACCAACAAGTTTGACAAAACATTTGATCCCTCTATAAAGTTAATGAATAATGTGAATTGAGAAAGAAATGGAAAATCATGCAAGTCTGAATTTCATTTTTTAACCAAGCCTGAATTTCTTTTTTTAATGTTTTTTTTTCATTTGATTTTGAGTATTTCCCACTTTCTACTATGGATGTGCAACTCTCAGAAACATCTCTTGGTAGACTGAGTCTGTGAATACAGGGATGTAAACACTAGAATTGTGTATCCACCTGTGGGTATGCCCACTGCTGAAGCATGCCAGTGGAAGACGAAAACTGTGAAATAGCAGACCTGCAGATTTTCTCCCTAACTTGTTATGTAGCTAATATGTATCAGATTTTGCTTTTTTTTTAACCACTCATCTTACAAGCTCATATCACAAGTACAAGTAAGACAAGTAAGTCTCACTTACACAAACATTCAATTCAATTTTTCCTTGTGATACTCTGTTCTCCAAGTATTGCAACTATTCAACAGTCAAAAAAACATATTAGAATTAATTTTTATAGGGTTGTTTTATGAGAGTCTCTTTGGATGGTCACCCTTATCAAAGCTTCACTGAGCTAGGCAACAGTGGGTGTGAGCATGGGAATGGGTGTGTATGTGTTTGTACAGCATCTAGTCAAATGGGCCAGATGAGACCAATTACCACTCTTACAATAGAACCATTAAATAAAACCAACAATAGTAAACTATGAAGAAAGTTTTAGGAACAACTATAATAGCAGCTACTACATAATTAACCCCCCCCCCCCCCTGAATGGTATTCAAACTGTTGGTCTTTTTTTTAACTCATGTAGTAAGTTTTTATCATTAATGGACTATTTTGAAATGGTCTTTTTGAATATTTATCAACATTGCATAATGTTCTGAAATATATTAGTGCAGTTTATTTATTTAAAGAAAACATTCCTCTTACCCTTGCTAGGTCATGCCATCTGGTTCTTGCTTTGTTAACAAGGTAGTAATGAGCCTGATCACAAGCTAGCTCTGCATCCGTTATCATCTGTTTTTTTCTCAGAAAAGAAAAAAAATAAAATAGCAACTAACTATGCTGTACGTCAGTGAAACCTTTCATCTCCACAAGTTTCCTTTCCTTTTGTTGTTCTTTATGGTAGTGGTGATTTTGCTTCCTAGATTCTAAGATATACATTAAAGACTGTTACTTCACATTTGTGTAAACTTAATTCATTAAATACTGCCTTATTTCCCTAGCTGCAGGTTAGCGAAGATGTTTTAAATTTTGTAATTCCCTATTTATTTTCAAATCAATGTTATTCAATTCTCCCTCAAACTCAAGAGCCAAGCATGGATCGTTTATACACATAGAAGGAAATGTTAATTAGCTCAGAAACAATTATATCCTGGAGTGACTCCAGGAAGATTATCCTTGATTTACTTCAATAAGTTAGATCAAAACTGTCTTTGTGCATTAACAAGACATAGCTGGTAAGTTTAGGGAGTAAGACCCAGATTTGCAAACAAACTCTGTCACCATGATACTTAGCGTTATAAGTGCTGAACTTTTGAGGGTCTGGTGCTTCTGGGGGAGTCCAAGTATGCAGGGATTAACAGATCCTTGGAACAGGATCCAGCAAAGCTATTGCACCATGCAGAAAGCTGACTAAATCAACGTGCTCCGCAAAGACACACCTAATTGGGAACTGGGGGGAAGGGATCTCATATCTCACTGTTCTTTGAAATAGTTCACCTTCCTCCACGTTAGAAGAGCCCTTCTTTTGGAGCTCAAAGCTCTTTAACTTTCCCAAGCACTTTCAGACAGAAAATTGAGGAAAGGCTGTTCATTTCTCTTAACACACACCTGTCCATCTCATACTACTTCCTAGCACCAATTTTTCCTCTGGCTGTTGCTTTTTAAGAAAATGCTGCAGGCATATGGCTTCTGCACCCAGTTCAGCAGCGTTCTTGGACGACACTCCACAGATCAAGATCTCAAATGAGAGGCAGAAGAATATTTAGCCTGCAGACCATGTTAAATATGATCATTTGTGAGCTGCCCACCAAGTTCTCATATTACTCATGGCACGTGCAGAACCAGAACTTAGGTCCTGGATAACTGCAATATTGCAAACTGAGTTACATCTGAACTTCCAGAGCTCCAGGCCTCAACAGCCTTTGCCTATGGCTCAGTTTGGATTTGGCAAAATAAATGCCACATTAAGGTATACTAGGTGCCCGGGAACTTTCTGATTCTCAGAGCTTCCCAACTCCCACTGTATGGGAGAAGATTCCATAAACCATTTAAAGTGGTATAAAGACCTAGCTGAGAAGCTGCAAGCATTCTCAGGGCTTTCAATCACTTTATTTTCACTGTTAGATTTCTAAAACTGTAACAGGTTTTGAAATGAGAAAATTTTAGAGCTAAATCCAAAATGAAACAGAAATAAGAGCAAGGACATTAATTGGTCTCAGACTTCAACCATTAGCAAGACCCAGTGATGATCATCCGTTTTTTTTCTTGTTCTGGATTGATGTCCTTGATTCACTCAGTTGCCCAATTCAGGAAAAAAGAAAAACAAACCAAGCAGATAAATATTTCTAGCATCTGCGCCAGCCGTAACACTGTAAGAGACAAATAAAAACTGGGAAATAAGCCTATGTGTATGTATCACATCTTCATTGCAACAGCAGAGATGAGTTGCTGATCACGAGCTTTTTCCGTCCTCCTGAATCTTGTCATTACTTTTATCAAGTTACCTCTGTTTCCATAGTTAAACATAGTTTCACATTGAGGTTTTAGAATGAATTTTTTAGTGCCTAAGTGATATTTATCATTAAAGAAAAACTCAAGCTTTAAAATTCCAGACATTTTAGACAGTATCACTTCTTGGAGTAAAAGAGGCTGCTGCGATATCTTCCCTATCCTCCACCCACTCTACAGCACTTCAGCATTTTTGGACACCTCACATGAACTTGTCTACCCTCAGTACTTTGGAGTTAAAAAGATCTGGGTCGTGGACCCCCGGACTACTGTAACTCACACTAACGATGATGCTCGTCTCAGAATTGATAGGGACTGTGGCAGGCTGGTAATACCCTAGCTGTTCCTCAACTCAAAATAACATCCCCAAACTGAATGTTCAATTCTGCATGCTCAAGAGATACAGTTAAGTTGTTTAATTTGGGGGTTAGCTCAGCTCTAAGACTCTGATTCAGGTACCAGTATACATGTTTAATCTTACGGATTTGAACAATCTCCATGGGTTATTCACTCATTTCAGCTGAAGGTTGGACTCAGTATTTTATTTAACTGAGTCCTAAATCACTGAGAACTTCATAGAGCTACCCAACCTCAGCACGATAAAGATGTGTTTTCATCTTTTTTCAGTCATATCTAATATCAACTTTCATACATACAGCATATTCATTTCTATAAACACATCAGATTAACGTAGGCACTACATAACTTTCTCTTTCTTACTTATGAGGTGGAATCAGCCAGGGAGGTACCTCCTTAATTTCCTGGGTCTGGAACAGTTGACAAAATTCCTGGTAATTTAACGTGGAGGTCGGGTTCATTCTCAACACACCAAGTAGGCGCAAGAACTCCTCATCTCTAAGGCTAAACAGAAAGCTATCCAAGAGGTGTCGAAAGTCAAGCATGTTGACGATACCATCACGGTTACTGTCTGTGTTACGGAAGGCAGAATAGGTGTCCTAACAAGGAACATTTAACTAAATGTAGTTACCATGTCAACAACATATTTTAAAATATAAATAACAAATGTTTGCTCTAGACTTGTTTTGACAATAGACAAATATTTTAAGGCAGTTTGAGAATATAAAGCATTTATAGTATCACCTTACTAAACAATGCTAACCTACTACTTCAGGCTATATAGGATAGTCTGCAGTAAACCACAGTGCTATTGCTTTCATCACACGCACGCACAGAACTGAGCAAAACCAGAGAACCAGCCCCCTTGCAAATCTGCAAACTGGCCTCCACTTCCCATCAATCCTGATGAAGGACTGAGAGGTCCTTCATTTCTGCCCTTCATCTTACACATGCTTGGAAAACCTGTTATGAAGAGAGGCTTAACAGCAATTAATGCTGCAGCTAGACAGCTTCTCCCATTAAAATAGACATTAAAAGTCCAAACAACTTTAAGAATGGTGAAGAATTTCAGAAATCACTTGTTAGCATGACCAGCTTTGGTGGGGGTGTCCAAGCTGGTTTGAATAGAGGATCCCTTTCCTGAAGCTGCTCTTTCTATTTCTCCCAGGGAACAGGAATGGAATGAATTGAGCAAAAGGCTAATGCCAGTAGCTTCTCTCCTTTTGTGAAATGTGACCTCTCTTATTCTATGTATATCCAGGGCGGGATTTCAAGGAGTATATTCTAATGGTAATTACAGATAATAATAAGCAAAACAGAACCTCTTCTTGATAGACTGTACTCATGTGTTCATGGACTATTCCATGAAGAAGTAGTACAGAGATATTCCATGCTAAGTGCAGAATCTGTAATAGCTACACACTCACAAAAGGATGGGAAAAAATAACTCATTTTTTAACTTTCTGGCAAAGGCTGCAGAGAAGGCAGTTAGAATAAACAGTTTTTGCTTGAAAAATGAAGGTATTTGAACTGTACTTTTCTGAGACAACAGAAAACATGAAACTCATCATAATCTCTAGGGTCACTTTTCTGACAGCTCCCCCAAACCAACTTTTAGAACAAATATTTGTATCACAATAACAACTAGCTTCACTGCCAAAAGCAAACCATGGCTCAATGTATTTACCCCATAGACTTCCATCAGCTTATCATTAAGCTGACTGAGACATTGTTCAGCAGTCATGTAGTGATATTTAGCATTATTTCCTCTGCAGTTTGGACTGTGACATAAGGTAGCTCCTGGCCCATTCAATCTGGCATCTGGAATAAGGAAATCAAAGCACAGAGAACATTGAAATGATGATATTAAACATATCTGATAAATAGCACAGTAAAATAACATAAACAAAACAAGAAACCTGCAATCGTGATTTTTATAGCCCAAATACGACAAAGTACAATAGCTGTATACAGTATTAGTGGCGCCCATCTGATTTCCAGGAATTCCCTCAGCTGCTACGCTTACTTCCTAATACAAGGTGAAGGAAACTTCTAGAGGATAATCTCGACTGAAGAAAGCACAGCTCAGACAGGTTCTTTTCCTTTCGCTTTAGCCTTTTCTAGTTCCTGGTTGTTTTGAGGAAGGAGAGTATCAGACTGGAGGAGGAGAAAATGAATACTAAGCAAGGTGTGATTTGCTGTCACATTGCCTGTCTCTGTAAGGGAACACTGTCTGCAGCTTCTGCAGACAGTGTCACAGAAATTAATTTGTCACATCTTTGACTGTGTAGCACAACTGCTGCATGCTAGACCATCTCCCCTAGAGTAATTGTATTGTGGCTAACGCTGCTGCTATTTTGAACCAACACAGGGTATTTCAGGAGCTCTGCCATCAAAAGACTTCTTACTTTCTAGTTCATCTACAGAGTGTCACCCCGATACTATTTTTCCTGATGTTCAGGACTGCACAAATGGCAGCTTCGTATTGTCACAACTTTAACTTTCATCATCTCACAGCCCAGCAGGATCAGGAAAGTGAGACCGCCAGCTTCCCAGCAGGGCACACAACAGGTACTTCCAGTCCTGAAGGGCTACGGTATTTTTAGGCAATAGAAAAGCTATTTTGGTCACTGTTTGAGATTTTTCTGATTCTTTCTGCTCACTGTACTGGGATACTCTAGGTACCTATTTTGCCTTGCTTTTGGGGAAGAAGAGACCAAATAGCATCTTTTAAAATCTCTTCAAAATTTTAAAATTTTTCTGCAACATATAAGCCATATAGAGAATATACAGAAAAAGTAGAATTGTCACCAGGTAGCAGGTAAAGAGGATTTGCTGGGAATGTGCTCTTGTCCATGAAACCTTCACACTGCATCCCACTGTCCCACCTCACGTGGACATGAACACTGTTCATTGGTATGTTTGGATTGCTGAAAGGGTATTTAAACAGGTATGTTTAAAAAAGGGTATTTTAAAAGGGTATCTAAATCTGTATCTGTATTTGTTTGGGTCGATACAGACAACATTTCATCAAGACAGACACTAATCCGATAAAACTTAGCCAGATGAGCCATTCCCTTGCAGCAAAGTCGTTTACATTGATGAAGCTACAGCAAAATCACACTGTACAACACTCAGCCTCCCAGTCGTTTAAATGTTGTCACCATCTTGCAGGTATGGCTTCCTTCATATGTTTAGCAAATTTCTGTAATAACTTTAACTAATTTGTCTCAGATTTTTAAAACGGGAAAAACTCCCAAAGAAAAATGTACACACTGACATTTCACTACACCCTACTCCTAACCGATTGGAAAGATCCTAAGTTAATGGACCTTTCTAAAGGAATCCATTCATAAAAGTGAAGACAGAAATAACCTACACACAACAAAAGCCTGTACACATACTCCAGTGATATCACTAAACTATATTCACTGTGTCGTTTTCCATTTCTTGTGACTTTACCCTGTAACCCTCCTCCCCCCAACACACACACTATCCCTCCTTTTTTTAATTCCAGTCTCTATTGAGGTCTAGTCAGGAAAATTTCTACTCATGTTATCTTCCCTCTGAAGTCTACGAGAAGAGAATCAGGTCTCTCTTTCAGCACTCTAACTACAGCCCAAGAGGTCAGAGACTCTCCTCCTCTCCCCCACAATTAATCATGAATCACTGAAAAATAAGTCACGGGTTTTTTTCTTTCCCTTCTGGTTTTTGAGACTTTATGTTAAATGTGTGTTACAGTTTCTTTTACAACTATGAGATTTAGTAACCTCTTGAAAGAAAAGCTGTGATTCTCATGACTGTCAAAAGGAAAAGCTTTAAACACAGACAAAACACTTCTGATTCTTGACTTAAATCAGTGTTGTCACACTTACTTTCACCAAGGTTAACTTGTTTCAAATATCTTTTACTAGGCTACTGGATGAAAATATTTTGATGGGCAGATGACTAGCTGACCATACTCACATACTTCTAAACACTACGCCTCAGTGAAGTAAAACCCGAATATTACGTCAGCCTCCCACAAGTCAGCTCTCCCCCATTTCTCAGTTCTAAAGAGAAATAATGACAGCAGCAAATGTGGGAAACAGTGTGGGAAAAGTAAATAGACACCTCTGAGAAAAATAATAAAGAGATACATAATACAGAAGTTAAAACTGGCCTTCTTGAAGTCAAAGGCAAAACTCCCATTGACGTCAATGGCATCAGAATTTTATCCAGAAAATCTAGATTTATAGCATAAAAGAAAAATATATAAAATAAATGAGAAATGAATAACTACCTACTAGACTCAACTTTCAGCCAGCGTTCCAGCCTAAGAAAATGAGTTCAGTTTCAATCAGTTTCAAAGAGTCAAAATGTGAAACCTTTACTCATATTGCTATGAAATCAATGAAATTACTGATGGAGTAAGGTAAGTAGCTCAACTGAAAAAATATTAAAAAACTATTCCTCTGGGTTGCACTCCTCAGCAACAGTAAATCAATGAAGACCACATCCTCATTATATATGTGGACGATATACCTGTGTCTACACAATCTCATTGGGATTCTTCATACTCCAGTAAAGCTATCTATCTGTTACGTTACAGACAACTGCATTTCAGCACCCTCTAGTAGCAAACTCCCTTAACAGCTTTAACATTCAAAAGCAATACTTTAAATTAAAACCATAAACCAGTAAGTAACCAGACCACATCACAGAGCTCTAGTTGCATATGCTGCTACTAAAGCCTATCACTGAAGGCTTACTAACAGAACTTTTGTACCTGAAAGGATTAGTTACTGTCTCCTGGCCTTTTAGACAGAACGAGTAAGAAATGATGGGAGAAGGATCTACACAAGCAGAGAGACCAGTCTGTCACTTTCCGCAGCCTAGTAGTGGTAACTACATCACACCTCTCCTGGCCTTTACTTAGCCCACATCTCACATGTTCCAGTTTCCCTGAACCCCTGGGTTAGACGCTCAGCAGGTTAACCAGATCAGGAATCAAAGAACTACAGAGAGGAAGGCCATCAGTGTCCTAAAAATCACACCACTGATCTCTTCCTAATTTCACCAATAGCCTTTCCTTGAAAGAGAAAGTTCCACATTTTCCAGGAAAGGTTTGTTTTATGCTGTGTTGGTATTAAGATTCCTTTACCTTCAAATATCGCCACAAAATCCAGATAACTCAACCCTCCATCTGGGAATCCTAACTTTTCTGTTAGTAGATTAAACTGATTGTCATCCATTGGCATGCCATGATTCTCCAACACCTGTCAGACGAGAAATAAAATAAGTTATATTAGTATCTATTTTGTTGCTTAACATACCATTTTGAATAGTAAATGTTTGGGGGTTTTATGCCATAGCTCAACTTGAAATCATTCTGAAAATTCATCTCTCTTCCTTACACATACAGTAAACTATTTACATGTAGATCTACTCCATACAACTTCAATTCTATATAGAATTGAACTGAATTTGCAGAGAGCAAAACTTGACTATATTTTTGAGACCGGCATTTTAAGCAAAAGCCTTGAGTGCCAGGCTAAGATTAAACTTCACCTGGAAAGTGGAAAGCGCCAGAAGCAATGACTTCAGTTCATTTAGCAGACTGAGGAAATCTGTCATTTGTATAATGTGCTGCTACCACTTTTTCTCACAAGACCATCACAACTAATTCTTGGACAAGGAATGCTGTGAAGTGGACTCAGGCCCCTAAACCACATACAGCTACAGTGAAGTGGAAAATAGGATTCCTTCTGGATGCTGCTCTTTTTTTCAAAGCAGATTTGGGGATGCATTTTATGTAATCCATTTTGGCAAGGAGATTTCTGACCATCCTGCACTCTACCCATGTCTGCTTCTGGAGATCTCTGTCTCTAACAGGTACAATAGTCTGGAGTAGGAGCAGTAGCAGCAGTCAAACATTATACTCCTCCTCTGTTACCTGCCAGTTGACTCTAGAGGGGTTTTCTACTCCTTTTCCTACCTCCTGCTTCCCTGAATAGCTCCAGTTGCAGCCCTTTTATTTCCTTCAGCTGCTTTGTAACTCCTGATTTGGGCATAATCCTTTAACTATCCTGCACAGCTCTGTCCTGACTTTCCAAGTGTTCCTACAGCAATTACTCTTCTTATTATGTTTTAGTTAATTGTATAGATTAAAAGAAAAAAAATCATTAAACGGCTGAACAGCATAAGGACTGTTAAAAAAGGAAGCGAGCATAATTAGCAAATTATCATTCCTTTCAATGAATGTAAAGCTTTTCAATGAATGTAAAGCAAGCACAGTTTTTGTGCAGTTGAACAAGTATTTACCATCAGATCAAATGCTTAACACTAGCGATAAGGAAATCTGGCCATACAAATCCAGTCAAAGCTGGAGAGAATCAGTCACAATAGCAACGATGGTGACTACAGCCCCAACTATTATCACTTTCATCTAGAGAAAAAAGGTGATAAATCTCTGCCAGATTGCATACAAGATTAAGTTGTATTAAAGTCTAAGACTAGGTCATTGTCCTGTGCTGAACGGCTCACAAAATGCATAGTTTCTGCATATTTAAAGGAAGAGGAAATGATGACCATCTTACAGTGAGGAAATATTGCAAAACGGAGCCAGACATCCAAATTGTGGATGTCACCGAGGTCCTCCGACAGAGCTTCAGTTGCTGTTCTCCTGAACTTGAACTCTATTAATAATCAGCCAAGTTTCAAGGTGTGAAGACAAGCTCTGTGCCTACTTGCCCAAATCCTAAGAGAGCCAGGCCAGTGAAGCCAGAAGTACCATGTTATCCCCACAGCAAAGAAGGTGGAGTTCTGCATCCCCCTTAACCCTCCTCACACCTTTGGTACTCCACAGGCAAGCAGCTAAAGGGAGTCTTTATGCTGTAAGCTGTAAAGAGAAATACAGAGAACTGGCAGTATTGGTATAACCCTGCAAAGGTTAAGCAGTGATTTGGTGTCTACAGTTTTCAGTTATTCAATACCAAGAATACCCTTCAGAGGAATCTAAGGGTGTATTCTGCCTCCTCCCTCCATATCACTCTAACCTAGTGTCATACAAATAACCAGAACTTACCCACTTCCAAGGCAGCAGCATTTGCCCACTTCTATTGCTTGGCCTGGAATAATAAACCAGAAAACTAGTCCCTTTTTATAGCTATCACTGCCACATTATACTATGTACCATTTGAGTAACCGACTCAACCTCTGGAAGACAAGCAGCTCTGTCCAGCTGTACACTACCTCCCTGGCTGCTCTAAATGAGTCCTCTCTTCTGTGAATCAGAGTAGCACTTCGTAAAACTGACATTAAGTTGGAAAATGGAGTGGGCACCACATCTGTCCAGCTACAGAGTCAGGATCTGGTCCAAGAATACTGAACCACTGCAGAGGACTTAAATTACAGTTGGGCCCCAAAATGCTTTACAACCGACCCACCTGGATGCACTTGGACAAGGTTCTATTCCCTAAATATTGGTAGCTAGCACCATTTGCTGTAGCCTGATATGTCTGAGACATTTCTATGAGGCTGGCAGATGCGATAGAGGGAGACCTACATCCTTCTGAAGCAACAGCTGGAGGCCAGGAGAGATATCCTACAATGCCTAAAATCACAGAATCACAGAATGGCCAAGGTTGGAAGGGACCTCTGGACATCATTTAGTTCAAGTCCCCTGCTCCAGCAGAGTCATCTAGAACACATTGCCCAGGATTGTGTCCAGGTGGGTTTTGAATATCTCCGGGGAAGGAGACTCCACAGCCTCTCTGGGCAACCTGTTCCAGTGCTCTGTTACCCCCACAGTAAAGAAATTTTTCCTCATGTTCAGACGGAACTTCTTGTGTTTCAGTTTCTGCCCATTGCCTCTTGTCCTGTCGCTGGGCACCACTGAGAAGAGTCTGGCCCCATCTCCTCTTAACACCCTCCCTTCAGATACTTGTACACAGTATAGACCTCAATTTCTAGGTGCTCTTCACCTACCACTGAAACTCTACTGCCTCTGGGATGAAAAGCAGCTGTGTTCTCAAACAATACAGGGCAGGGAGTGCTGAACATCTCAGTAGAAGCGCCAGGGAAACTGAACTAGGAGGAATTTAAAACCTGCAAGTTGGAATTCTGCCTGGACAACAAGCCTAAAAAACCCTTTCTTTTGCAAAAGGGGTGGAGATCTTTAAAGACCATGAGTGAGAATCAGTTTTGGTTTGCATTTTACCTGAAAACACACATGCACAGGCAGTTCCCTGAGACATGAGGCAGTCTGTCACTTCAGCTCTAACTTTTTAATCACCCTCACTCATACCAGAGCTCTCATCACCATTCATTTCAGGACAGGCTTATTTCCCTCAGCGTAAGGTAGGGCAGAACAGGGCCATTACTGGGAACCTTCCCCTTTTTTGAACATCAACATCATCATCACCAGGGCATAGCTGCCAGGCAGTATTCTACCCAGATGAACTTTGCTGAGTTTGCAGGGTCCAAGAACATGCAGTGATGCATATCCCTGGATGCAGGTATATGATGTCTTTTTATCCTTTGTGTATTGCCAAAACTTAAGGAATGCATCATCTGTAGCGTAACAAAAGAACAATGAAATCACAAAGACTGACTGTTCAACAGCTTCAGGCAACATATAAGCCTCTTAGCTATCACATTGCAAGTGTTAATCTCAGTAACCAAAGCCTATGTTCCAAAGGTATGTGCCACAGATGTCAGATCTGTATTGGGGGGAAGGGTTGCAATTTAACTAAATTCTTAATAAGTGTATTATTAATAATAAAATATTAAGAAAAATGAAAAATGTTTTATATGATTTCTTCCCTCCTCTTCTTCACCCCCTTCATTTCAAAGTGATTTTATTTCCTGCACACAACTGCAGAAAGATATCCACTAGAGGGTAAGAAGATGCAAGGCTGGATGCAGCTACAATGTCTGCAGCGGAAGGCTCTATAGTAACATAGCCTTCATCCTGTCATATGATGTGGAGCACATACCTCACGGGTCTGTGCCGAGAAGGGTAGAAAGGAAGACTACAGCTCTATCATCTCCTTTCAGTCATTACATTTGCCCCTCCAACAGAAGCCGGTGAAAATATGCATAGCCCATGATACATGGATGGGAAGATGATGTTTATTACTGAACCACAGTAAAAAACAGGTTAGGACAAACTATCCCAAGGGACCATGCAGGCTATTTTCAAAGGTATTTTGATCTCTGCTGATGCCTTATCTTCCCTCAGCATCTAGACAAAGGGTAGAGTATGAATTACTGTCATAACAATACCCAGCAGCAGTTCTTTGCTTGAATTTAGAAAGACGAGGGAAATGTTACTGCCACCCTGTCTCTTTTCCTGCCCAATGTCAACTTTCAGCAAAGTATTTTTTATTTGCAGTATGAAAAGAAAGAGATGTACAGCTGGGTGCCACAAGCATTACAGCTACAATCCCAAATCCACAACCTCACAAGTCCATCCAAAGGACAGCATGCAGAGTTAGATAAGCAATCAATCAAGGCTGTGATGAGCCCTGGGAACACCACAGAAAACCGAACCTCAAAAAAGACACATACAAAATTCAACTACATTATCTGAACACATTCTCATTGTTGTAGATCCCTTTAACACTGAGATGCTGTACCCAAATCAGCTAACAAAGCATCCAAGACCACCCACAGATCAAATAATTACAGTGGAGAATGACAGTGTGGTAAAGTCAACTGAACTCAAATAAGAGCTACAGAAGGGGTTTCCTCTCCTGTTGGGCACCAGTCTGTGCCCTGAAATGCTATTAGATGGCTGAAGGTTTCCCTGACACAAGCAAGCACTGCTGACTCTTTTGAAAATAGTGCAGGAGCGAGCAAGGAAAAGAGTCAGGGATCCCAGGGAGTGTCCCCTAGTCCCAGAGTGACTACAACCAACACTTCAGTCCAAGAGCCTTTCATTGAAGGCTGCAACACTAACTAGCACAGTGAGCTGTTGCAGGAGCTCAGAAATCTGAATAATGGCATATAAATAGCTTAGGTCATTCTCCCAAAGCCATGCTGTATCTGTTAACAGTCTTGTTCTTCACTCAACTATATCCAGTTGTCTATCAGCTACTACAACAGTTACAAAGAAGGCTTAAGGACTCTGAGTCAAGGATGAGAAATTTTTTAAGATATGCCCACTCACTTTGCATAAAGAGTGCATTGTGGGTTGACATTAGATGTCTGAGTCCCATCCATGTCTCCCTAGTCTCAATTCATACATATTCCTTTCGGCACCTGGGAGCTGTGGAAGTTTTCGAGGTGTACTGCTGCCATAGATGACCATTTTTTGTCTTTTTAAAGGAAAGCTGAGAATCTTCTCATATAATAACCTATATGAGGCCTGTTTAGCTCATTGGTGACTGAAACAATCCTGAAAGATTTAACTCTAGCTGTGTGAGTCAAAATAATGCTAAGACAATAATCATCTTTTTGGGAAAAATACAGGGCAAAGAAAAAAATCTAACATTTTCCTACCTTCCGCAAACCAACTTTAGTAATTTTCCCATTTGATTGCTTCTTGTAGGCAAGAAAGCTGTCTTTAATAGTTGCTGCCTGTTGTAACACTTTGTCCTTCAGCCTTTCAATTACTTCATCAACAGTTCTATTCTTGGCATATTTGTTAGCTTGATCTTCAATCTGTTTCATTCTAAAATTGAAAGATTGTGCATGCAGACAAGTCACTTATTTTTTGTAGTTTCAAACATTTGATTCAGCAATAATGAACTGCTTTAATGACAAACAAGACATGGGACATGGGAGAAGCTCTTTTGATGCAAACAGACAGGCTGATCAAATTAAAGCACATGTTGATTCCAAGACCTATATTGTGCAACCATTTCTTAAGTACAGTTTGCTTTACAGGAAAAAACAAAAAGCTGAATGATACTCCCCTGAAGTATTTATTCTGCAAATGGAGATCCTAGACCTCCAAATCACAGGCTTAGTTAGTGCATCAGACTACATCAGCTAAGGAGCCATATTCATCCTTTAATATCCATTCTGTCGCCATAAGAGGGCTAAGCCAACATGAAAGAAGTTAATTAGTCTTTCCATTGATTATAAAAGGAGAAGATATCTCTTATGAAGTTTTCTCTCTTCCTGGGAAGGTGAAACTTCCACTTCATGCATCCCAAGTAAGTCATCTCCACTTTTTTCCCCTTGTGAGGAATGGCCAAAATAACTTTATTTCTCAGGCCCTATAAGAAAGTCCATAGATATGGACTATATACTCTTCCTGATGAAATACCACAACCTTCATCAGTAAGCCATTAAAGTAAGTCACAATCAAATACTTAATAACTTTTAAAGATAGAAAAGAAATTAAATTAAAGAGTATGTAATGTGTCCCACTTGTATCTATTTTACATCTGCTATGGATTTACTATAGCTCATGAAAAGGGAAGTTAAAACAATTATTTTTAAGTCTGAGAGCATGTATTACCATAGAAGCAAAATGCAGAATTATTCAGCAGTCTTATTTTTATAGATTTATTAAGTATGTTTTATAGTATTCCTTAAAATTGAAGTTAATCTTTAAAATTTAACTCCCGTTCTGAAAATACGTTCGTGAAAAGAGTTTTGCTTTGATCTGAGCAGCACACAGAGCATTAATGCTAAGCCTCCCAAGAGTAATCAAAAGATGACAATGATTGGTGACTGCCTCCTGAGGATGCCACATGGACCCATCTGCTGAAGGGACCTGGTCTCCTGAGATGTCTGCTATCTTGCCTGAATGCAAGAGGTTACCAAAGCATTACCAGCTTTTCCCACTCCATCACATTGACCATTATATTCTTCTGTTCATCCACAAAGGCCTTGTCATGAATGACCCTGAAGAGATGAAAAAGTAACCACAGCGCAGGTGATCAAGATAAACTCAGATGTTATTATTTATGCCATTCCTCCTAATCAAAGTTTAAGATGGTTACTTGTAGGATGTCATTAGGAAGACCACCTTCCCTGGCAGGGACTTATATGTCCATGGGCTACTGAATACTACTAGAACACATCTCACCAAAAACTGAAAAGCTCTCTTTTATCTACTACCCTGATAACCTAGCAGGGAGGCCTTGGATTAGGATTAAAGAAAGGAGCTATCATAAAAGCCCATGGGAAAGTATAAACCACAGCAACTTAGCTAATGGCCTAAAAATAGATGAAATTGGGTTATACATTACAGGGTCATAGAAAAGAAAAAAACAGACAGAATGGATCAGTCCATCAAATATGGTCATTGTCTCTATACGAATATAAAAAGAAAACATATAGCATAAGCAACAGGAGCTGGAAGTTTTAAAATAATATAAATTATAAATTAATTGACATAATTAATGGGACAACTCACATGACTGGAATAAGCAGAAGGCTTGTTACTGAAGGACAAGTGAGTTCATGAAGACAGATATATTGCCCTTTACATCAAGACTGCTAGAGAGATTTTTAGAGATACTTATGATTCAGTAAACTAAACGCTACTGAGAGTTCTACCGGTAAAAGCCTATGAGAATATGGGTGCTAAAACTGTGGGATGCCTACCATGCAACACCAACAGGGAAAACAGGATTTGGATTTGAAGCTTTTGGAGATCTGGAGATTTTTCTGAGCAAAAGAGAGGCAAAATCTTCCAGGGAAAGGAGTTGGTTATAATCAGCTGGATAAGGATTACAGCAGAATACAGGTGGCCTAGCAGACTATCAGAATTTATCCGTGACATTCTGCTGATATCACAAAATCTAATGAAGGGAAAGTCTTCCTAAATTTTATCCTAACTAACATGGAGATACTGCTTGAAAAGGTGAAATACAGCTTAAGCAGGAAGGATGATGGAATGACAGAGTTTATGGCCCTCGGAAAAGGAAGGAAAGAGGATAGTGAAACATACAGCAGATGTCTACCTACTCAAGGAACAAGTATCTCATGTGAAATGGATCTAAAGGGAAAGTGTCTTAAGGAGAGCTGCCAGCTCATGAATGAAACACGTAACCATAGTGTAAGAGAACAGCATGAGTATATATGGCCAAAATCTGAAAGGCCATGACACAACATGAGATTTGATATAAAAAATATCAAGGATAATACAAATTCATTCTATTAATACTTCAGTAAAATCAGGGAGAACAAGGAAAATTTTGGCTTACTATTCAACAGGAAGAGACAACTATCAACAGATAACATGAAGGGTTATGAAATACTTAAAGCCTTTGTTTTACATTGCTCTTCAATAAAGAAGTCAAACATAAGCAGATGGCTTGAACAATGAATACTAACAACAAATAAGGAAATAAAGTAGTATAGAATATTGCTATTTATTCAAATTGGTACTTAAAGAACCGGCTAAAATAGTCTCAGATTTGATACAGAACTTTCAAAATTATGAGGAAAAGCAAATACACTACCTAACTTAAAAAAGAGGGCAGGATAAGAGCTGGAGAGTTACTGACATATTTCCAAGGAATCTATTCCTGCTTTCAGGCAGCAATTACACAGTCACAGAGAGTTCAAAGCCTGTTAAGAGACACAAGAGCCACTAGGGATTCTTGAGATCTATCCTGATTTCAGGCAAGCTTGTATTTTAAATTGTCCTCCACCACTTTTACCTTGGTTTCCTAAGGAAACAAGAATAATGCAATCAATCTTTAAATCCACGTGTCTGTCAGCCTTCCCCCCAGAATTGGAGCCATCTACCAATTTCAGTCAAATTGGGGGGGTGGGGGGGGAGGGGTCTTAAGATATACAGGCTTACAAGTTTTGTGAAACTGACAGTCATGAAAAGGAGAGAGACTCCTAGCTGGGAAGGCAGGGAAAACTCACACCATTATCTATTCCATTTGTTAGCAGCTAGCCAAGCAATCAGCATATGTGTTTCCCTGGGCTAACCACCTGCTGTCTCTTGCCCAGCTGCCACCTCGAAGTATTCAGTGAGAACTATAATCTTTTTCTACCTTCAAGTAATAATCTCCAAGTACATTTACGCTGTGTGAGATGCCAGACTGGAGCTGGGTCTCAAAGTTCTTCACTTGGATGTAACGACTGCCGATCAACTGTAACACATCAGCCCTGGATGACATAATGCTTGCTGAAGGTATGGATAATGCTCCAGATAGTGGCTCAGCAGAAGTCAGGGACAGAAATGTTTATTAGTGAGGCCATTGATACATCCTGAGTTTAGTGCACTGTGTCCCATTGACAGAAATGTCATCTGTGTTGGTGATTCATTTGCATTTTTTATCTAGCTAGCTCTCTGCTCTGACAGTCTTTCAGTAGAAATGGCATTAGACCTCTCCGTAATACTAACCTCAGGAAATTTCTGAAAAATCTGTTCCTACCTATAGGAAAAAAAAGCTCTCTTGACCTCAATGACAGGCGGAACAATTTCAGCGTGCAGAAAACAGGTTGATTTCCTGATTGAAGTATAACTCAGATTCTGCTTTGAGGACGATCTTGGAACAAAACTGCAAGATCATTCCACTCCCAAAAATACATTACATAGAGAGTGCTAGCCATAAGGTCTTAGATATCGCCTAGTGTCCTGCAAAAGCAAATTAGAAAAGACCGTCAGAGACAGAGTGAGCCAGCTAAAAACCCTAAGGATTAAGCTGAAGGTCCACTGTGGAACAGAGTCTTTCACAGGTTAGGGACATTAACTATCCCAACCTGTGAAAGAACTTAAGGGTAGAAAAGTGTGGGAATACGAGGGTCCCACCCACTGCAAACTGCTGGTCCTAAATGACAACTTTGATAAGAAAGAGGCCAGATTTACTTTCCTAGAGACTTCAGGTAGTATTTCTTTTCCGTTACTAATCATGATTTCTCATTCAGGAGAGCAGCAGATATAATTTGGTAAATCAGAGCCACCCAGCATCCACAATGTGACAAGCAGAGAGGTAACATTCAGCTGGGTGCTGAAGTTTTGTTTGAGCAGTTTCAGGAGGAGGGCAGAAGCCTTGAACTCTAGGCTAAGAGGTATAGAAGGTGTTGATACCAGAACTGCCTTAGCCAGGCTGGAGTGATCAGAATTATCAATGCCATCACTGGACAACACTGGAACAAGAAGAACGGAAGGGAAGATGTAAGCTAGTGCTCATATACACTGAAGGAGAAACTCATCCGACATAGACTGAAGACACTGATCAGCTCAGGAACCAAAAATCCAAAGTTTCTGTTTTGAATTCTTCAAAATGCCCATGTCTGAAGCAAAAGGATCAAAGTTGGTATGCTCCCAATATAGTTACCTGCTTTCTGCACAAGGGATTGACTCATTTCTGTGCTGTCCTGACATGGTAAAGTGACTCAAGCCATCTGCCTCAGAACTGATGCCATGTGAACTGCTGACAGGTAGTCAGGCAATAGTTCCAAACAGTCGACCACTTCTCAACAGGCAGTGACTGACAGCACGGTATAAAGCAGTTCAATGGCCTCTCAGCCAAAACCCCTTTTGGCAAGAAGGTAAAGGGAAATTGCTACCTTCTTTAAAATATCCCAGAAGGCTCCTAACCTTCCAAGACCTCACTAAGCGAGAGAGAAGGATGTCCCAGTGCCTGAGAGGCCTTTTGAGGATGGGTAGTATGCTTCTCCTCTACTTTGCCTTGCTATAGCATAGTTTGGCAAAGGGCGAGAAGCAGACTCCCGTGAGTGCTAGCTGTCCTTCTACGGGGTCCTCAGAAATCCTGCTGCTAGTATCCTCATAATGCCAATTCTAATGCCAAATACCCACTGCCAACCACTTTTATGTTAATGACAGAAACACGAAAGTCATGGTGAACCTACAACCACCCATTATGTTGTAGGTGTTGCTGAAGGCTGCATTAAGTGTGGCCCTGAAATTGGTATTCAGGGTTAGAGTTCAGATGCCATTGTTTATTGCCCATGTTTGGTGTCCCTATAGCACTCAGTCTTTTTTTCAAAGTGTGTAGAGGTCCTCTGGCAAGCTCTGAGACAACAAAATGGAGACAACACAAATGGGCTTTTTGAGCCATAGGAATAAGCTCTCAATTCTGAGGATGTGTGAATGCACTGACAAGGCAATGTCTAGAGGTGCTTTGAAGGGGATTCAGGTAGAGATGTAGGAAGCACACAAAGATCAGATAGTTGAAGGAAGGAAACAAAGAAGTCTGAGAATTCTGAGAAGAATCACTGACAGAATTTCTAACTTCAGATCCCCCGTCCTCGGTGCTGTTAACAGGAATGTGAGCTTTGCTCACAGCATTCTCTTTTTTATGAAATATAACCCTTCAAATGAGCAAAGACAGGCCTTGAGCATGCCTCCATGGACATACCTGAGTAAAGCATTATCTGGGCTCAAGTGAAATACATGTATCCAGAGTTTGAGCACACATGTAGATTTCCACATTAAAAAAAAAAATTTTGAGGGAAGCAAAGCTCATTCCATACAAGAGATACTTCTTTCCGCATCCCTTCCCACCCCCCACACCGGCTTATGCAGGCGTTTCCATATACTAAAAAGCAAGAAGTGAAAGGACTCAGTAGCTCATATATCTTTGTAACCTGGGTGCCGGTAGCAATGACGCCAATTCAGTTGGAGGCTGTAGCGATAGCCTGCAGCAGTGACAGCCATCAGATGGAGCGGAGTTCCTGATCCTCTGAGAATGTTCAAATCCAGTTCCTGAGTAGTAAGCCACACTGGTTCTACAGAGGATCACAAGCTTACACTTCAGATGTTATCTAGAGGGTAAACCCCAACTGTTGAATGATGCAGTGAAATACAGTCCTTGTGGACCCTGTAAAGTGAGCTCAATGATTTTTGCCTGAATCCAGGAGTCTTTGATGAATGATCCAGACACGTGTGCTCTCCTGATGCAATTCTTTGAGTGTTGTACAATTTTGAATATATCTCTGTGAAATGAGAGATCAGCCTAGGACAGTACTTACCATTAGACAAACAGCATGTATACTCTGATTCTTTCTGAAAGTATCTGTTCCATGTGTATTTTTTCTTTACATTAAACAGAAAACATTATTAACAGCATACCTTTTTGAAAGATCTGTTTGCCTTTTTTCCTCTCTTTGTTGGCTTCCCTTTGATATATGTGAGCTGATACCATTTAAGTCATCAGGAGAAACAGCAACCTTTAAGCTATTCAAAAGCATGTTGTAAAAGATCCCACCAGAAGAATTATCCTGATATTTGCAGCATAACCTGGATAAAATAAGAATTTAAAATACTTAGAGAGGTTGGGAACAATGTATAATACAAATATAGTAAGACAAAGATGATCAAAGGAACACATTTGCTTTCCATATATAGTTAAGGATATTATTCAGAAGGTTATCTTTAGGCTTTAGAAACCAGCCTTCCTAGACTCCTTCTACAGCCTACAGAGAAATCAGGAACCTAATTTAAACACTGAATAATTATCCAGAGGAGCTCCATTGACTGTAGAAGGAGCCTAAGGCAACAAGCCTCTCCTGCCAGTAGATAGCCTTAGTGAATACTCAGTATCATTAACACTTGCACTATATGGTGGACAACTGGAAGAGACTTGGCTCATCTGACACTGGCCTGTCAAACTTGGCTGCAACAGTGGAAGAGGTAGCTAAGATCACAGCCACCGCACAACTAAACCTGAAAGAAATCATGAATGAAAGCCCCTGTTTACCTTAACTTGCAGCCTGGCACATAAATGTAAAACGAAATCACTAGCAGCTTAAATTAATGCTCCTGGCTGTGAACCTTAACAGCCTAGGAGCAGACACACTGTCTGTACAGCCCCCTCTGTTATGCTAAGGGTAACTTCCAAAGGAGAGGTTGGGTGGGTAGCTCGCTGAGCTTGTTAAATTACCTCCTTAAATCATTCCTGTATAAATTAGCAGAGTTCATGAATCAGAGCCCTTGTCATCACTGTGTCACTGCTTCACTGAGCTGTTTAGCCTTCCAAGATTTCATTCATGTTCATCTAGCTTTTGGGTATTCTTGAATAAAAGCAGAAGGCTCCTATACTTGTACTGCGCACTGCGGAAGCATGGCATTCTCTGCACTCAGCTTATCCCAAGTGCCAGCTCTATTTAGACTGCCACTAAAAAATAACTAAAAAAACACTTGGCACTTAACATATCAAGTGCCTTCTTTCTGGGGGAAAAAAAAACCTAAATCAAAACTTCCTTTTCTTTTGAGAAGTCTAATCTATAACATATACACTGCAGGAGAGAAAGTGTCAGAGGGATGAGAAGGAGGGGAAAAATCTCCATATTCTAGTATTTGCTAAGCCCTACTCAGTTAAAATAAGTGTAGCCTTCACATAGACAATGGCTCTGAACACTATAGAGCAACATCTGCTTTGTGAGTGTAATCCATAAAAGACTTCCAAATGCCCTTAAAAATTGTTCCCTCTTTTCTCCAGTCTGAATGTCATCTTACAGGAAGCCATCTGGGACAACCATCCCAGTTATTCTGCTGCAGCTATAGCAGCATTGTCCTCAGGTGCCTCAGGATGAGTCACATCAAGGCAAAAGTCCAGTTATAGTAGAAGCCCCCCAAAGCGGAAGTATCGTTTCAAATAAATAAGACTGATGAAGCTGCACTCCTGAATTCAGAACGTAATTCAGTCACTTCATCACCTTTTGCTCAAAAACCCTGCACCCCTTAAAGCACCCATGTTAAATCCCCAATCTGGTTATAACACTCCCAGCACAGATGTGATAGTCTTAACCCAGCATGTGTATTTAAAAGAATCAATTGCATCTTCTTTACTTATTATTTTAAAACATAGCATTTTTAAACCTGGCATCTCTTACTACTTAAAGCAGTGAACAAACAGTGCCATCCACTGTTTCTCTGCGTAATCCACAATATTTTCCTAGGGTAGTTTTAAATAAGGTTTAACATAAAAATTAATACCACATTTGAAAAAAACTATAGATTGATAAAAAGATGTGAGTAAAAACATATTTTTAAGGAGTCAGGTTAAATCACTGAATGACAACTTTAAAAATAGATTATCACCAAGTAGATTTTTCAAAATATCTCTTCAGCTGTGGATGAGCCATTCTAACTTAATTAGCTAATTTTTACTCATTTATTTTAATATCAAATATTTCTCCAATCAAGTAGACCATCTATTGCATTGCCCAGTATAAATCCTCACTTCATTTTACTACAAGAATTAAATTTCTTCCTCAATGTGGTCATTTGCTCTCTGGAACATGGCCCTGATATTGCTAAGAGCAGGGGTTTTTTAGAAATGTTTACTAGAGAAGAATTAGCAATACAGTAGGAAAGAGACTCTGTTTTCATGGACTGAACATGGCCATGATTATATAGTAATTGATGTCCCTGAAGGTGTTTGACAATGGAATTCAAACCTTATCTTTTAGACGTATATTTAAGATGCTGCCCTTATAAGATTACAAACTCATCCCATCTACGGTGAAACTTGTCTGCCTTTGGGAAACACATATTGTTGCATTGTTCAATAGTGCTGCAGTTCGACAACGCACATACAAGAATGTGCTCAATACTCACCATAACAGGAATCCTAAAAGCATTATGCACACCTCTTCTGGTGCTTTGCTAGAATACAACCTCAGCTGCTAGAATTTGCTAGGCTGATCTCACAGGGCTTATCTTCTAAAACAAAGGCAAAATACCCACTGTCCACAACGATGAATGAATTAAACCCCAAAAAATTTCCTTTCATGGCCTTCCTCTACATCATCTTTCTTATAGCGAATGTTTAGAATTTCAAGCAAAGGCCACTTTACAATTCAAAGCAGCTGTAATTCCTGATTTCTCTTATAGTAGAGATCTTTCATTGACACAAATAATACTAGAAATAGTATTTAGAAAATTGTATAACTGCTGAGTCCCAGGTAATTCAAAGGGTAATTATTTGTTCATGATCAATGACCAGTGATTATATAGTATACAACACAGAGCTATAAAATTGACAGATGATGAAAGCATATAGTTATAACACACTGCACTGGGAACATGACTTTCATGAACCCAATGTATAACACCCAAAGTTTTCTCTAAGACATTTACAGAAAGGCAAATGCATACAGTCGAATTCGTTTTACTGATCACGCTCATGCTCATTCATATTTCAGGATCAGAGATTATTTTCTAAAGCCATTTCCTATTGATGCTGTTGTGTTTGCTCCTCATTCACAATGATTAGCAGGACATTGGGTTGTAAAGGGTCAGACTGGAACCGATTTTGATTTTCCTATTATGTTTTCAAAGGTAGGAAAGAATTCCACATCTTTCTGAAAGTCACTGAGAGTGAGCAGAGAAAGCTAGAGCCCATGCGAGAGCAGATTAGACCTGATTATAACCTAATTGAATTGTTATTGCAATAAAATGCCTAATACAGTTCCCTCCTCTTTGGATACAGATATTTTGACTATATGCTCCCCATGCTCCCCAGTTTGGGGTTTGTGCTGATATTCAAAATGAGATTTCATGTTGACAATGTTAAAATTCATACTGCTGTTCATTACAGCAATAATCTACTGAGGAAAGACACAACATTAATTTAATTAATTTTGTATTACACTCCGTTTGGGAATACTAAATAATGTTTGATAATGGCTTGGATCTCCACCATATCAGTTGTTCCTTTGTAGAAAAGGCTTATCTTACCTTTGAAATGGTGAAATTATGCCCAACTCACAAGAGTTTCCAATATAGAATTTTCATGGAAATAAATAAGGGATTTACAAGCTGATCGCATAAGGAATGAAGCATCTCTTCCACTGATTTTTTCTTTTCTATATGCTTAAGGCAAACTGAAATCCTAACTACTCCAGTTATAGCTATCACATTAAAAGACAGGAAAAAAGATATGGTAAGAAAAGAAATTACACTAAATCTGCTACAATTCATACATCATCAACTTACTTCATAAATTGTTGGTCTGACAAAGAAGGGCAATACATCTGTAGAACTTTTCTTAGATGACTTCTGCTAATAGTGCCAGTACATTTAGGATCATAGGACTGCAAAGTCTTATGAAAATCTTTCCAGTTTTCTGTGATTGTATCTGAAAGGATCTTCGCCACCTAACAATTGAATGAATTCGTAAGGCGGGGGGGAAGGGGGAAGAATCCTTGAGGTTAAACTATGATAGTGCTACCACATGACAAAAATGTACTGAAATGACAAATCTAATGTTAGAAGATCAACACCTATTGAAAATGGAGCACGTTATTACATACAGTATTCCATATTACATATAGTATTTCAAAGCAAGATACAACATCAGGCAGGACATTCACTCCCCAACATCTACCTTTGAAAATGTTTGTTCTGAAAAGTGACCGCAAAGTGACTGCGTAAGAAAATGTATACCTCACCTCACAGATCTGCTCTCCCCTCAGTCCTGTAAAACAAAATTCACTAGGACTGAATGAGTTGCAAACAGCACTCATCTTACTCAGGGCATAATTTGAAGACAATAGACTTGCACAGGAGATGATAACAAAATCTGGCTTACTGAACCTGCTTCAGGATCTCTCTGTAGCATTAGCAGTTAGAGTAAAAGTATCTTTTCACTTGTAAATTGAGTATACTAAAAACAGAAGTGTCTGAGAAGAAACAAACATAGACTCTCAGTTTGACAGAGAATCTCAGCATAACTGCAGATCTGACTGAGCACTGCACTATGTCGAATCTCAGGTGAGAGGAAGGAGGCGGAGGTTTGTGTCATTTTAGTTATCTTAGCTGGCTGGGAGCCCAGATTGTTTACAGGTTCTGGTTCTGCCCATTGCTACTTTTAGGTCTCCTCTGACTGAATCATTCCCCAAAGGAATAACATAAATGCAGAGATTTCTTAAAAAAAAATGTCCTCTTTTATTTGTAGAAGCTATAATCTGCCTCTTCTAGAGGATGAGCCATGTTGATGGAGCTGGCAATACTACTCAGCACACCAATGGAAAGGATTCCTGGACACTCAGGCTACCTTGCAGCTGCTCTTTATCAAGAGAAGGCTGCAAACTAGCCACAGAGTCCAGAACTAACCTACTTCTTAGAGCAGAGTCGCTCTCCAAGTGTGAAATCACAACCGCCACGCTCGTGTCATGCAAAGCTACTGTTTCATCCCTGGTGGTATTTCATGCCAGGGTGACCAGGATCTAGGATGTTTAGCATTTCCTTTACCTGTATTCTGTCATGCTATCATTTACCTCATTCGGGATGCTTATTTAAAATGACAAGAACGGCCAGTTTTCTGTGACAATCTCTAATAAGAGCCTAACCAGCTCAATTTAAGTCCAACTTAGTGCGCATTAACAGTTGTGTACGCAGGCAGTGTAGCATTTGTGCTTTCCCCAACATGTCAATTTTACAGCCACTAAAGTTTGTCCCAGAATTTCACCCAGACCTTTATTCTACTCAAAAACAGCTGGAAGGGACTTGAACTGCTGCATCAAATGTATCTATTGTTAGAGCCATCAGAAAGGAATGCTGCCTATTTCAGTAAGTAACATCAAAGTATTTCAAAGCAGTGCACACTATTCAGGACTATTCAATGGGACCTTCTTCTTGTGCATCTGGTGTCTCTCTCGACACTGCTGGATTCCTTTAACATCTCTCAAAAACACTAACCAGACCAGCTGGGACAAAAGCTAAACATGTAATTAGTCAGTTGATATATTAAGGCAAACATAAAAGAGATTCGATACAGAAAATTATGGATAGGTTCTTAATACTAGGAAGCAGATACGGAAACTGTAGCTTATTAAGTCATTTCTTAGTAGAATTCAGTAAGTAAAAAAGTATTGACAATATTATCTCTGTCCAAGGAAACCGATATACTAAACAGAAGTTTTGACTGCAGGATCCAGCATATAACCTATCTGTACACATGGTGAATAGTTCTAATTCTTCCTATCTGTACACATGGTGAATAGTTCTAGAGGAAGATATTAAAAGAAGACTACAAAGTCAGTGTCAAAGCTGTACCCAGGAAAATATGCAATCTCTGTGTAGCATACAGCATATATTTTGAACCAACGTATTATTATAAAGAATAACAGGTAAAACAAGAAACAGGTCTTTTGCAAAATATCAGCAAAACAGATTTGACACCCCAAAGCTATGAAGTATTACTACTGCCTCTCATCTGCTGTACACATGTAACTGAGCCAGTGATTCTGGGGGAGTTTTCAAAAATCTCCAATAACCATGAGATTGTTTTCCAACTGAAGCTTCAGAAGAAAAGAGTCTAGAAGTGGCAATTATGAAGATTTACATTGCTGGAAAGTATGTGAACAAAACTAACGTAGATGAACACTCCATGCAGAGCATAACATTTTACTAAAACATATTCTGGCACTTTGCTGCAGCCATTATAAAATAAGCTAACCTTAAAAAATTAAAAAGAAACACTTACTAGAGACTCTTTTTCTTCAGCCAAGTCTAAAAACTTATGATAGTCAACATATCCAGTCTGTCCTGGATCAATTATCTGGATTAGCTCCTGGAAATCTTTATTTTTTATTTGAAGTAAGAAGTAATGTAAAATATGACGAAGCTCATCTCTTGTGATCTTTCCATCTCGTTTCTAAGACAAAAAAAACAAAGCATGCATAAAAAAGAGCAAATAAATTTACTAAAGCAAGGCTGATCCTAATGTGCTATTTTGCATCTCTAGATCATCCTGACCTACAGGAACTGGCAACTCTGTAGCTTTTCCAGTAGCCTGTATATTTTATACTTTAAATCTAGTACTTCTACTCCAGTTCCTAGTGAGTATTCAACTGGAGCACTTACTGGATGGAAGACTAAAACCATTGAAATGAAACTACAATAACCTTTCTATTGCCTTGGGATAGATTGTGTAGTTTGCTGGTAAACTGTGCCACAGGTATATGGATACATGAAATGCCTTTACACACACTCAGGTCAGCTTATCACCTGCATTTCATTCCTTATTTGCTCTGGAATCAACGGTCACATAAAGTTGTGTCTGACTGAAAGAGGTTGCTGGGTCTGAGTGGAGTCAATCCAGGTGTCTCTGCTTCTGCCTCTGCTTCCAAAAAAGGCAGCTTTGCTGCATGGGTGCTAGCTTTGTCCAGGGACAATACTATACACAGATCCTTTTATTACTTGGAATTTTGTTGCCAGACCTGTTTCCCTATATTGCAGTAAACAGTGAATTAGCTGTATACTTATACTGCAGTCAAGTTTGTGACACTTCAGTGAGGCAACATAAGGAGTTTGTACTACACATGCTTGTGTTAGGCTTTCTCTGAAAGTAGACAAAAATTTTGGTTCCCCAGTTCTATCACCTTTCATGCATCACTAGAGGATTTGTGAAATTAAAAGGTAGAAGTTGCTTTGCTACCATGCAATAAGTTGCTGCTACCACATACCCCGTCCATTGCCTTAATGAAGAATAGAGAAGTCCATTAATTGATGTCCATAGTTATATCTTAATATTGTTCTCAGCATGTCCATAAACGGCACCTGAACCTGTGTTTATCTATGCTTGATGTATGCCAGCATTTTCTTCATGATTAGCTTCAGAACAATAACAGGAAACATTTTGTGTCTGAGTGCAGCTTTTTCAAGGGCTGCAGTTTTCAGCATGATGGTCCATAAGGCCAGAGTAAATTCTCTGCAAACACTTGGGTCATTACAGAGCTTTCAGTTGAAGGTACAACTATAAGAACATGGTGAGCCTTGAGAAATTCTAACTGTTGGTGCATTAATCCAAAACATTTGAAACTGACTGTCCTAAGACTTTCCCTTTCTTTTTAGCATGTTTCCTTTGCATCTCGGTATGCATCCTTTGCATCTGTTACATTGTTAGCTTGGGTCTCTTAGCTTTCTTGACCTGGTTACCGAGGGTGAACCAGCTTTCAGGGGGAATCTGTATCTCGGGCTTGATGCCCTATCACATTGTCATGCAAAAGGGTACCCAATTAGGCTGTAAAGTAATAGGCAATGGATGTGTTCATGCAACAAAATCAGGATATTTTTATGTTGCTGCACTTAAGGCACAGCTTTTCTCTCAGTTCCCATGGCAAGTCATATCCATAATTTATGTGGGAGAGTTTTAAATATGTGCTTGTACCAACTCTTTTTTATGACTGTCTATTGGATTTTATAATTTCCTATTTGTTCTTGGACTTTCACTTTTTAAAATTGTTTCTTTATTTTCTCTAAAGAAACCTGAGGAAGAATAATGGGAGGAAAGAAGAAGAAAGAGTGGAATAAAGGCTTTGGAACAATAAAGAAAATTTAGGAGTAAATAGTTCCTCCAGTGATTGAGTTTCTGGCTAAGCACTAGACAAATATCTTTCTCTTCATAAAATTCACCCTAAGAAAATTCTGTTTCCCTTTAGTCCCCCACAGAGATCCAGGGTGGCAGTAATAATATAGAGGATGAACAATTATTTACTTCATCAGCTGGTCTGGGAAATACTTTAAAGTTCTGCAATCAAAAGATAATGGTCTTGTGAAACTACTATCTGGTATTTGAATTTTCTTCAGAGACTGTTGTCACTGCATTAAATCATACGGAAACAAAATCTGATAATATACCTTCCTCCCCCAGTAAACAAGTTAGGGAATCTGGCACTGAAGCTACAAAGATAGCTTGTGCATCACAAGAAACAAATGTACACAATGACTATGTCTTACCCATGAAGATGAAATATGTTACAATGAAAATAAATTATGTTTTATTCAAAGCTTAGATAATATAGGTAAGTGAAGGTACACTATATCAGGCCTTATTAAGTAGATTGCATTTGCTTATTTGGCTGCCTTGCAACTTTAATTGTATTTGTTTAAAATAGTTTAATTTTATTGCCTCTATCATTACCTGATATAATTCAGTCCAGCATAAGTGATCTCAGTGGGGCTGCACTGATTTATCCAACAAGAATTCATGATGTTATGCATAAATATATGATATATAAATATTATTCTTACATACAGTCCTTTCAGTGTGAGAGACTCCAGATGTTAGGGATGACATGGTTCTATCTTCAGCCTATCTTTCCTTTTCACCTTCTCAAATACCTCTGTGTTTGTTAACAATTTCATTCAATAACGCCCCAGTTCAGTAAACCACTTAAAATTATGCAGTAAAGTGTCTTGCTGAATCATGGCCTGAATGATGTAGGTGTACATACTACAGTGTATGAAATTGATTTCTTTTCTTACAAATTGCTAGGTGAATTCTTTCTTTTTGTGGTCATATATATATATGTATATAAATAAAATACTGCAGAGCTAAAGAGAATAGTTTTTATGTAATTATATTAGAAAGGAATTATGATATATCATCTATATAAAACCATCTAATAAAAAATGCCAATAGTACTTCTAAAGATATGCCCAGTGCTCATTTTCCTTGTGTCAACCAGACTGAAAGCTTTAATTTTTTTAGTCTGTTACTTGCTCATTCAATTCAGAAATACAGACTCTACAATTTAAGAAGTGCAATATTTTGCAAATCAAAGTAATAAAAAATTCCATCTGTCCACTAAAGGCACAATCACACAATCCAGTGTATGGAACATATATATCATGACATTCCATCAGAAATGACAGGGAGACATTTTAACAGAGTTCAGTACATCATGAAGGCTACAGAACTGGTAAGGATAGATAGTTCTTTATTAAAAGTTCATATTCCAGTGCTAGACATGAAAAGGGAATCCAAACTCTATGAAAAATAAGATGAAGATACTTTTAAAAACAGTGAACTATGCAATTGCATGCTCAATAGCGTCAGCGTCACACATCTGCTACTGTCTACCTGTCAGATGACAGACTGCAAACACAAATCTTTCACAAACACTTGTTAGCACTTTCTATTTATATTATATAATATAAGCCTATAATAATTACTCCATAGTTCTGATTCTAATTAACTTTACTTATCATACTGATTTTATCCTTTCATCAAAACAGATTTACCTTGTCTGGAATTTCTGTGTGCACTCAGGAACCAGGAGGATATATATTCACTGCTAAGCAACGTATTTGGACATACACCCTTACAAAATCTCCCTTCTTTTTCAAGCTACTAATCTCAAATTAAGGTGTAGTCCTATCCTGCAAATATTTATGCCAAATATATATATTTTTTATATTCTTTACCTTAAACGTCAGTCACAACCAATTGGACTCCTTCAGCATGTAATATTAAATAGGTATTCACATTCTGTATTATTAAGTTGTAATACTAGAACTAGTAACTATGTGCCTTTAAATCTATTACAACTGTGGGAATACTAGAGTTTACCTGATGCCAGCTTTCAAAACTGGACAGAAAATAGGTTAGTTTCTTTTACAAATTTCACACATTTTAGGACTTCAGTTAGCAGACTTTCCAATATTACTTGAATTCCTTGCCTTGACATGAAAAATGTACTCCTTTTGTTTTTTAGAGAGACTAAAACGAAAACAAACGCCAATGCTTCAGGTGACTGGGACACCACATGTAATCAAGAACAAAAATTATTCAACATGGCAAACTTTCACTTAGAAAAAAACCCAGCAGACTCGATGAGTTGCCCTTTTATTTCAAAATGCACTCCACATAATGGAATGTATAAAAATAATCATATATGGCAATAATAATTATTAAAATCAATAAAATAAACTCAGCTAATGCCTAAGAAGTTAAATATGTATATTCAGTATTGCCTACCCAAATTATTTTTAATGCTTTTTTTGTTTCTGTGTTTCAGACTTTATGGGAAACCTTTTTTGAGAACATTCGATGCAGGGGCTAGAGAGTTTGTATTAGTATTAATTCCCTGAAATTGAAATACTTGTGTTACAAATTTTTTTTCAAGGATCTTGTTTTTACAATAAATCACAACATTTTGTGAGACTCACAAAAGAATATCAAAGAATATTTCATTTATCCTTTGAAACATCGATCTGACTCAGCATTTTAGAGTCACATTAGTAACTATAGTGACAGGGCACATTACACATCTAGACTGCACAATAGAAAGCACTAGTTTTAAGTTAGGACTTAGTTTTCAAAATATGGATTAACAGGTAGGGACCAGTAGCATTTTAGACGCCAACAAATCAAGAATGATTCAGACAAAAATAGGTTGGAAGAAAAAGCTAGCAGGCAGTTACTGGCAGGCTGGCCAGTGATGTGATGAAAAATTGCCAGCCTGCAGCATAATCCTATTAAAACCTTTTAGATAAGAACATAAATTTACTTTAACTCTTGGAACAGAAGAAGTTTAAAGTACAAATCTATTTCTGTCTCCTGAAAAAGGAAGAGCAAGAAACTTACTTTTTAAATTCTATGACATGGGGAAATTGCTTTACTTGCTTTACCTGTTTTTTTGTAATGACTGAAAACCCTCTCACACAGCTACATAAATATTTAGGAATGTTTCAAATTTATACATATTTAGACATTAAATGATGAGATCACTGGTGAGATCGCTGCTCTGTTAAGACATTGCCTAGAGCGGCTGAGCAGGAGAAAAGTCATTTGCTAAATGATACTGTATGGATCTTAGTGTGAAAAGGAAATTCGCCATCACAGGCTATTCCTGTGATGCTTACATGACATCAAAAACTGTCCATGCTCTTTCAACATTAAGCGTCAAAGCCAGTACGTATCACATTTCATCTCACTGATAAGGAAACCAGCATTTCTGGGAGCTACCACACTTCACAAGAGACCACAGTAGGCAAGGATAGAGACCCACTTGGGCCCTGGGATGGGTAGCCCTGAGCAGGAGGAAGAGTGTGGAGAGAAGGAATGTGGAAGCAGGTTTGGAGATGAACCCCTGCATAATCAGGACACAATCCCCAACACTGAGATAAGCAATAGTACCGGGCAACATGGGGATAGCAACAGCCCCATCTCAGTCATCTGGATCCCTTCCTTGGTGGCGGCAGCTGACAAGGCTGGCCGGGACCCTGACAGAGGCAAGGCAGGCACTGGGGCCCTGCTGGAGCTGCTGTTCTGGGGCAGTCTGCTGCCATAAGTCACCATTTTGCTTATGCCTTGCGGCATGCCATTTTAAGAAATCAGAACTGTACATATGCACATAGCAGCTATCAAACAGATGTGATAGATAAACCAAATAACAAAACCTTCAAATGGAACTGTAGGTTCCATCCATCCTCAGAAAGGCCTATTTCCAGCAAGGTCTTGCAGGGGTTAATTTTCAGCCCTGTGTTACACATCTTTCTTATGCATACATATGCACATATAGACATGTGTGAGTATGTGTGCATATGTATGTATGCATTAATAAACAATTCTCTCTATGTGTGTGTGTATATATATATATGAACACACAAATATATATATATATATACACATATTTATATACAAATAAACTCAAAAAAAATCCAGAAAACATCAGATGATCACAGGTGACTGAAAGACAAATGGAATGATACATGACAAAGAAAAGAAACCACTGACACAGTGTGATTATTTGGAAATATAAGCACAAGCAGAGAATAACACTTCTAGTAAAGTCCTACTTTGAGAAATGGAGAAAGTACACCAGAACAGATGAGGAATCTTACTTATGAGAACCAGGAACACTTGAGAGACTTGCAGGTCATAATAGATAATCAAAGCATAAATAAACTGCCAGTTTTTATAAAATGCATAGATAAATTGCCTAAGGGACTAAGGCAATCTTTGGATACTTAAACAGGGGAAAACTTACCCGTATCTGGAAAGTTATTTATTTTTCTGATACCAGTGCAACTTCTCCAAAAGCATCATTTCTCATTTCTGGCATAACATTTCATGAAACATGCAGAAAAACTAGCAGGGGTTCAAAAGGGATCTCCAGGGATGATTAAAGAACTGGCCAACATGACTTCCAGGGAAATTCTAGGAGGTCAATCATTTTTGTTTATCAGATAAGTTGTTACAGAATATTTAGTCCCGGTTTGCACATATCTAAGTTAAAAAAACAAAATATGGACTCTCTGAGCTAGCATAACACAAGACAAAGGCTGGTAGCTATCAGATAACTTCAGAGCAGGTATAAGACACAAAAGGCTGGTTGTAAGAGTAATTAACCAAGGCAACACCTAAAAAGAATTGCTCTTACTTCATCAAGCACAAGGAATGCCTGCTTTAGCAAGGGATAAACATCTTGAATGTATCTGCGCAGCTTCTGATGAACAGTGTCACCGGAGAAAGTTTCATCTCCTCCTCTAACTGGATTTACTCTGTAGTAGGAGAAAAACAGTCCTCACTATTTTGATCTCTCACTTTCTTCTGCTCATTGTCTTCTTCTTAGAGCAGGAAGAATAAATGGGTTATTTTTTAATGGACGAAAAATAAGAGCGTACGCTTAGAGAAAGCATTGTCAAAAGATTATTTAATTGAATTTAACCAAGGGTGATCATTCAGCGAAGACACTTCTCTCATTTTCAATAAATATGTATACCACAAGTTACTCAGACTAACATTAAAAAAAAGAAACTGCCTACTTACTCATGTTTTTTTCTCATTGGAATTGTCCGCCTGTTTTTAAAGGCGCCCCCAGGATCCCGAAATTTTTCTAAAAATTGTTGCCAAGCAATTTTACCTGTGGCTTTCAGTCCAGCTCTGATTAAAAAAAAAAGAATGGAAACAATTTTTATAGGTTTTCTTTTAAAAATACTATATATCCAGAAAAGAATTTTGAATGAGAACATCACAACTTCATTATAACATCAACGTGTGCAAGGTTCATAATTAGAGTAAGCTTCCATAGCTTTTTTTTGTTACTAAATATATAAACTGAGCCAACTTATTTTCTCAGTTCGAAATGTCTTGCTGTGGAAGAACTGGACCCTGAGCGAGAATTCATCTAACTAAATGTACACATCTGCACCTGAGCAAACCACTCTAAGTTCCCTTTATAGTCATTGGGAAGAAACGGGCACTTTCAGGGCAGGATTCATCTCATCCTAAAGTAGACATCTAAAACTGGTTAGATGAATCCTGCCCGTTGTTTCTCTCCAAGGACTATAAAATAGGGTCTAGAAGGAGCAGTTCAGATGTAGACGTTCACATTACAGATGTCTACAATGAGAGAGCATTTAATGCATCCCTTCTTGTTATTTACATGTAACAGTAGAAAAACTAATTAAGGCAAATAGTTTGATCTTTTCTTTTTAATCTTATGATTCTGGTTCTATCTAAATTTGAAATTTCTGAAAGCCCTGGAAGTGTTAAACTGTGTTAAAAATGCGGGGAGGTTAACTAGTATCACATTGCATGAGCAATTACTTTAAAATCAATAAAGACCTGATCCAATGACCGCCTGCCCCCACCATCATGAAATGTTCGGTTTCAATGGTAAAGCAGAAAGGCCCAAGTGAACATGGCTAAATGTGCCCTACTTCAGATGGTGCTCCATAGGCAATTACATCCTTCCCATATTATCAGAAATGTGCTGACTTGCTACCCTAGCCATCTCTGAAAAAAAGAAAAACTCATAATGCTCCTTCAAATGGTGGCAGGTGGTGTTTAGAGTGTTTGCTAATCCAGGATACATATGATAAATCTGAAAAATTACCAAATGTAGTCAGAGGTATGTAAGACTTTCTAGATCTTTCACAAAAAACCTTCCAATCTTTGGACCTCACAGCAGTTTCTCAAGCTCAGCCAATAAAGCAAAACCCAAAAGTCACAAGAATCACAGCAGTCACTCTTTGGCCAACCAAACCTGACAGCACAGAGCATTTTCTGGTAGGAGACAGAGCCTGACTTTTTACAATGGTCCTGCCTATGAGTAGCACGCACGCACGCACCACAGTTCAGGAGCTCGCAGGCAGAGCATCTCAGATTGCACAAGCAGCGCAAGGCACCAGAGTCCAGAATGGGCTGGGAAGGGCCAAGCACCAAGGTATAAAGGTAGAAGAAGGTAGAGACAGTGCTGGCATTTGAATTTCACCAGGGGAGCCATTTCATTCCCTGCAGGAGGGGCTTTGCCAACAATACTATTGAGGGAAGGGTTATTAAAAAAAAGCTGTGGGAAGGAGAAATATTTCATATCTCATTATTGTCTTGGATGAATGAGTAAGAAACAAACAGTATGAAATAACAGATGATCTTCAAAATTAAGGCCGAGATAACAACTGTTATTTTGAGCCCCCAACTGAGATCCCTTCCCACTCAAATGTCTGTGGTCTACTAAATCACTCAAATCACACTGTAGAGTGCAATTCTGCACTGAAAATGAGCAAACAGCCAAAGCTACGTCAATTAAAATAACAGACCTCTCCACTTCTGTGTCTACCTTCTTTGTCAGAAGCCCCACAGTCTCCACACAGACTTTGGCAAGGACAATTGCCAAAATGCCGGGAGTTGAAGTGGACTTAGCAAGAAATATGAATGCAGATGTGTGAAGGCCTGGTATTATTAGCATTATTTTCTGTGGTGCCATTGATCAATCCACAAGATGCAGTGGTTTTCCCCCTTTCTGCAGGTTGGTAATGGATCTGTTCCATAGGTCTGTCTCTCTGTGGCTGCCCAACACAGCACTTTTTTCTTGCAGGTTTTACCATGGAAAGGGATGAATCAGACCCTCACACAAGTGGCTTAGGAGGAACTCACTAGCATTATGTTTTGTGGATCAAATTGAGGTTCTATTTAGACAAAACTCTCATTAAAGTCAGGGAGACTGAAAACTGAGCAAGGACTTCGGCATATTTTGTTGATTCCAACTCTTTAGAGTCATCACACTGGCCCTCAAATTTTAAGCTGCGTTAGAATGGCAGTAAGTGTAGTATGCAGATGCCATAGGTGGAATAAGTGAGGCATAGAAAGATCACTCCATTGCAGAGCCAGAAAAAATACTACATTTTTAGGTGCTAATCCAGCATTTCACCTACTATTGCATGCCAGATAATTTATTAAAGTAATTAAAAACAAGCTACCGCATGGCTTTTTGGAAGTATACTTTTGGTTACGTCCTAGTGAAAAGGAGCATACTTCCAAAAGATTTGACTGATTAGAGCTGTAACAGCATGCATACCTGATAAAATCACGTGATACATCGTCTAGCAGTGATCTGTTACACAATAGTACCCACTGAAACCATCAACGCCTTAGTGTCACGTAAATCAAACTTGAGGGTAACAAAAAAGGTTTAGAACTACCTCTGCTGCTGACAACTGTCGTCACGTTTTTAGACTGATATTATTTTCAGCAAAGCCCTGACTAAGTGAGCACAATGACATTATATCCCAAATAAAGGCCACCAATTAGAAGTCTGGGTAGCCACCAGAAAAGGGAGTCCCACAGGATGAAGGCTTTGGGAAAGCCTTCATACTGCTCACACATGACTTGCTCCCTCAACCTACACTCTCACACCTAAACCTGTGAAAGGACACAATGCACAGCAGTGCTCCAAAACACAAGAATATTTCTCATGTGGGAATGATCACATGTTGTGTAGTTCATTCCTTCAGTTTGTACAACTCTTTGTATAATCTCAAGTTCATGATGTTTTACTTCTGAGTGAAAGTATTTTCAAGAGGAGAAATGATGGAATTCAGGGAATTTGGGACTCATCTGAGTGATGTCCTTAGAATGAGGTACACCTCAGTGTACGCCTCTGATGTATTTGATCTTGCTGAGGCAGGGACATATAGTGAGAGATAAATGCTTGGGTAATCTGGTCCTAAACCTGTCAGGAATGAAATCCTAGCTGAAGTCTATGGCAAAATTGCATCAACTTCAATAGGCCCTGAATTTCATACCAGGAGCCCATGAGATGTAAATACATCAAACAACCACCAAATGCTATCCTGTATTCTTTCTTATAAACAGCTCCCTGCCCCATCTCATGCCCTATTATTTCAATATAATTTTTAAAATCTTGAAATCTTGTCCCTTGCCCGTCAATTATTTTTAAATTTATTATCAGCTACAATGAAGCTACTTCATTATTAGAATGAGATAACTACGAGAAGTTTTTGCTGTTGTTCTATTCAGCTGTTGGATCTTTTGAACGACATTATCTGAGAAATAGCACCTGAGAAATATGGCATACATAGGCTTATACATTTCTGTTTACAGCATCATTAAAATGCCACTATATTTTTCAAATGCTAGAGAAAGCTCCAGTGGAAGAACACATACAGAAATCTTTTCACTATGCAACTGCTCTTAAGAGCAAGATTTACTTTAAGATTTAAACTATCAAGTGACATGAATTGAAAAAAACTATAATAGCAATTTTTTGACAAAGTAATAGTTGATCATTGTTATATCACACTGTGAATGACTAGAGGCAAATCAGATTTATCTGCTAAATGCACAAAGCAATATGGTTACTGCAGATGATACTCTCATACAGCACCTGCTGCTGTAAAATATATATCTGCAGTGAGGTCTTTAAAGCTAACTAGTGCATATAAAAAAAATGATTATTTTCATGGAAGATTCTATACTTCAAATAATTTAAATATATAAACTATAAATTGTAGAACCCTTAAGTAGAAACACACGATCTGGTTATTGCCTTCCTCATATTGTGGGATTTGGGTGCCTTGTCCTGTTGTTGTAAGCTCAAGCAATATTTTGGAGTAAAAAAGGCTGTCTAAGAGTTAAGTTGTTTTTCTTCCTCTCTCTTTGACTGGCCATATGCCCTTAGCACTGTTGCCAACAAGTATAAAGTATATTCTGGCAGTTTTCTTCTCACAGTTTTTGGTTTCTGAGGATAAAAGATTAACCTTGAAAGAGCCTGGTCTAGATTTAACCAAAAGCCACAAAAACGTCCACTCCTATGATATTTTGGCTTTAAAAAGGAAATATGAGTTTACAAAGTTAGTCTGCTTAAGTTCAATTCAAATCATGTTCAGGAAACGAGATTTTGGAAAATGTCCTGTAACCTAAACAGAGGTCAGCTGCGATTCTTGAGGCTAGGCCTGAAAATGTTTTCTATTCATTTGTCTCCTGTATACTATACTGTCCACAAGATGGTCTGAGTTTTGGTCATAATACTGCAAAGATGCCTGATTAAAGTAAACTAGTATTTTGATTTGAATCTAGCAGTTGGCATGATTCCTCAACCCTCACAGCTGTTTTCATATAAATATTTACAATGTCAACACCTAAGTTCAAAAGATTTTTGTCTCAATATAGTTTAATTTCAAATTTCCAGGAATGAAATCACTTTACTGTGCAGCTCACAAGTATTCCTTTGGTTGTGTTTTTCAGTGACTAACTATGTACGGGACAGAGTGAAAGCTTTCAGCATCAGTTCATTCACTGACTTTCGTTTTACTTCTTCCTTTCATTACCTTGCCACAGAAGCATCTTTAAAACAAGCAGCCTTGAAGAGTTACGCTGTCACTGTGCAGATACAGTGCTAACAGTGACGCTGTTCTTCCAGCAAATTCTCACCACCCCACATCATTATTCACTTGAATGGAAGAGAATAATGTTCCCTTTAAGAAATTACATATGAATTTCTGAACAAATAGAAGTAAGAAAACAGAAATTTAAAGCTGCAACTCCATTAAAACTATATACCTTACTGCACAAAACTTGGCTTTTTACACATTTCTATCAGCTTTTACATACTGTGCTTTACACACTGCAACACAGGCACAAATTAGGTGAATTAATGATGGTAGTCACAAAAAGCAATAATAAAGTTATGAGGCAGCAATGCTAAAAAATGTCCCCTAAGAAAATAATATGATTCTTACCTGTTCATTAGCTTCTGAAAAGTTTCATTTGGTAAAGGAAATATAAAGCCATTTATGACAGATTTCAGGTAATCCAAAGACACAAATCCACTCTGACTGACATCAATTGCTCTGAAGGCTTTTTCAATGTCCTTATAGGCTGAACACAGCTGTAATGAATACAATTTATAGTGTTTTGCTCAGAAAAGTCAAGCTCATGAAGCTTTTAAAACAATAATGCATTTTTTACAAGACCTTTTCAAATGTTCGTCTCTTCGAACTGATCAAATAGGTTACCCTGGCATGCTCTGACTGTCAGATGTTTAATTAATAAGCTCACTACAAAACAGTATTTCCAATCACAGACTCTAAAATGACAAGTCAGACAAGTTTCTCAGATAATAACTCTACCTCAAAATTCAGAGCTAAAAATACTTGGTGGATCAGCCTGCTTGATAGCATCTTTCTTAATGTAAGTTTAAAACCATCCATTGCATAACCTCGTATCAAAGTTTCCTTTATTAAAATGGGTCGTTAGCACAATGAATGCTGGAAAACATTCGGAGAAGAGGAACAGTTAACATAGCTGCTGTATAAACATATTACACATTTCTTCAGTTATTTTTTTAATTCATGGGCTGTTGCAAAGCAGCTATGTGGAAGTGTTTTTGCTTACGGGACTTGTAAAATGCCTGAAAGTTGACTTACTGCAGATTTTGATAAGGCTCATGAAACAATAGGAAGACTGGTTTGTTTTTCTGAAATGTTAGCTCACACTGGGTTGTTGAATACTGCAAGCATCCCCGAGGCTTTTCTTACCTTCCCCTCCCACTTTTTGACAAGTATCCCATCTGCTTCTAAGCTGATTACTGTTTATTCAAAACTGCAGAAATCACACAGTAAAGATAATGTATATAGAGACTTTAGAAAGCCCAAAATAAACATCAAGGACTAGGAGGGTTTGCAAGGTCAGATGTACTCTGCTTCCAATCCAGGTCTTGACTTCTCTATCAAAGATCTAAAAGAAGAAAAAGGGTCAAAATGTCCATGTCCCTGAAGCCTTGTGTGTTTCTCCTCTCCTGCCTTTTCAAGGCTGAGAAAGCTGTTACAGGTCTGTGTATCTGGGTTTGTATTAAAACAGGCAGTTCAGAAGTCTCAGTTTCTGCTTACCTAGAGAGTGAAGATTTCTATGACATAAAGGTGCATAAATGAGCGCTGGAAAATTTGGTTTCCTTTCACCTGCTCACAGAGTAGGTACAACACAGGTAACACAGTGACAATTATGTTCCCCCATCATACTCCCCACCTGTCTTCAGTAAGATCACATCTAAGAGCATGGGGAGAGGCCATTTGCCACGTCTGTTCCAGCTTCAATCTCTTTTCTAAGCTTGCTACCACATATAAAAAATTTGTTTCTGTAGTAGCACTCACCCACTAATAATTTGTTTCATGCAGGTCAGAAAATAATTGCCAGACAATGATAACTAGTCATTACTCAGAGTAAGTCATTACTTACTTTGATCTGACAGAGTGATCTAGCAATTCACACTATGAAGCACCTTAGCCATCAAGCTTCAGTGTACTTCCATTTTGCTTTAGCCTATGAAATATGGAGTTTTAATACATATGTTTTTAATGCTTTGAATCTAATAAACAAGACTGGAAACATAAAACACAGCTATGCTATGCACAACTTCTGCTATCTGGCTTTAAAAGCAAATAAGAAACATCGTGCATGAAATTTCTTAATAAAAGAAGCTAGCCTCCAAACATGGCAATTTTTCTCTTCCTGTGATGCCTGGCTCGGTCCCTCCATCTGTGGGAAGTATTTCAAGGTATTAAGGGCGTTCTCTTACCTTCTCTCTAAATGCCCTCTCAGTGCTATCCAGACTGCACTCTGTCACAGCGCGCTCTTCTGGTGATGGCTGTAGAAGTTTTTTCTGTTTCTGTTCTTTTTCTTTTATCTTCTGGCAGGTTAGTGCTGTTAAGCAAAACTGACTTCAGATGAGTCTGCAGCTTTGTCAGCTTCAGAAAAAAAAATATCTAAAACTCTTAAAGGTTATTTTTGTTAGCTGGATAAATCTTTTTATAAAAAAATAAAATAAAATAAATCTGAAATACAACTGTCTTGTATTTCTGAAACTTCATCCGTAGGGAAGAATCATGGTAACAAATCAGTGCATTTGTAGTAACGGTTTTTCATTTTGTATTTCTTTAAAAATGTTAATTCACATCACTCACAATCTTAACAGGTAACCTTATTATATTTAGTAGCAGAAGATAATACCAGAAACTAATTCTATCTCCTCGTCAACATGCTTCCAGAATGATCCACTCCCAAAAATATGTTTTCAGGATACGGAAGACAGTTTCCTCATATGCTGTGGATAATAAACCTGCCCACTGACCTTGGAAAGGCTTTTCTCCATTTCCTTCACATACACCTATCCCACTGTCCTTTCTTAGTTCCCACAGTCCTTGGAAGAGCTTCTAGTTACTGTAAGTCAAATATCCCTCCTCAATGATTCCCCATCCACAAGAAAAAGCAGTCTGTGGAACATTTCTTTCAGGTGGAATGACCAGCTCATTTTGTGATGGTGGTTTGTTGTATAGTGCGCTATTCAGTGTGCTGTTTGTGTGTACATTCTTTGGGGTAAAGAGGCTGCTATGGATGTGGTATATTTGATTCACAGCCTAGCAGCAACCAGTATGCTAGACAAGACTCTAGCATTTTGAGATCCTTATGCACAAAGGAATGGCACCAAACTCTTTCAAAGGTAATTCCACTGGGGCTGCATAAGAAACAAAATGCTGTTCAGTATGGACAAGGATACCAGAATATGACTGTTCTGCCCTTAAGGTATACTTTCCCCCTGCTCCCAATGGCCTGATAATACAGATTTTTCTTCCTATTTAACTAAAGCTGTATTTTTAACTGTTTAAACCTAGGCAAATTATTTGTGAGAATCTCAACTCCATTTAAAATTGCCCTATTCAGTTTAGTTTTGGGTGAGTACTGATATTTCTTAAACAAATATCACTAGGTTTTGTACCTCAGAAATGAGTCAGAGAGGTTATCACTGATTTATCTACATGATTTTTAAATGTCTTTTTAAACTGGTGTTGTTTAGTAATTTTTTATAACTACTTCACATGGACAAAGCTCCACTTCTCAAAATCCATGGGGTACTAGAGATAAGACTGGAAAGCAGAGAACAAGAGGTGAAATTAGGCTGAATTCAAGAAACTGTGAGGTACAGACTAAGACAGGACTGAAGAAACACCCCACAAGGCCAGCTCAGAGCGTGCCCACTCATGTGGAAGGTCCTGAATCTCTGAGGCATCCTATGGTGGAATGAGTGGGGAGGTTGCCCTAGGCCCCGTTAAGTAGCTGGGTTAATTATGAGGATTAATCAGGCACAGTTCTAGGTACTGAGCAGGTACTACAAAGGAGGAGGAGCCTAACTTCTTAAGATTATTTCTCAAAAATGTCAATAGCCCACACAAGGAAATAAACTCTATTTTTGGTAGTTATATTTGCTTTTACTGATTGTTTCTGCACTATCTTTGAGAGCATTGCATAAGCTTACGAACCTCTATAGAGCCACACCACAGCCATTTAAAACGGTGAGAAGACAAAGTATCATTAAAAAAATAGATATTCTAACTTTATAATTTTAAAACAGTTTGGCTTTCCCTAATACTACTGAAGCCAACATGAACTGGCAGCACTTAGGACCTTTGAACGTCACGCCATCCATTTAAAGTTGTTTCAAAAATAATTCCTACCACCCAAGGGAAGGCGTTTTGTCTTCCCTTGGAAGTGGATCATCATAATTCAGACTTCTAGACTCCTGGTTTCTCTTTTCCAGACCAGTATAGATTAGTTTATTCTGTTGTAATTCTCTTCATGAAGTGTTAAAGTTTGAGTAATAGAAAGAGAAAGAAACAATGTTTGAAGCTAAAAGGCTCAAATTTTATCTTATGCTAAACCTGCAAAGTACAGGTAGCTCTTTATTGGCGTTCTTCTGCAGAGCAAAGTTTAAATGCTGTTTTTTAAAATAAAAAGACATGAGAAAATAACTAGCAGTTTAGCCTAGAACCCCTGAATAATCCTATGGTAAAAATATCATGTGTGAACACATGTGATGGAGAAAATACCTTGTTATAGATACTAAATTAAATTTCAAGATATGCAAACATATTCATATTATTTTGGAATGTATTGAAAGGGCTTTTTAAAATTTTTTAACTTGAGCACATTCTTAAACTCATGTCTCCATAAGACCACACACTCACCTTATATGTAAACCTGGCAGACTTTTGCTGTATAACAGCTCAAACACAACCTTTTTCATCCATGCACAGGGCTAAATCTCTTCACTGACTCCAATCATCCAGCAACTGAATTACTGAAGCACACTTGATATCACTGGAAAGAGGAAAAGCCCCCAAATATCCCAAAATTTTCAATCCTTTTCTAAACACATACCTGGAACTTGGTTTTCTGTACTCTTTTCCTTAACTATATTTATGCCAAAATTCTTCAGAAATTCTTTATAATCTATCACATTTGAATCTCTATAACAGTAATGGTTCCACAGCCTAGAAAATAAGACATTTTTTAGAGAACGCTGCTATCCTAGATCATGTTTGTAGCGAGGTGCAGTAAAAATTAGAAAAATTATATATAAAAGAATGTAAAAAAAGAACGAGCAATGAAAGACACTTCTTCTACATTCCCACTGCATTCTTTTCTAGCCTTCTTCCTGTGTCCAAGATTATGTCTATAGTATGTGAGCTGTCTGCATAATATCATTCAAATCCTACATACAGTGCCATTTGGTTGGCCATCTACAGGAACATGAATTTTAATATATCTGCACAGAGACATTTCTCTTTTTATAATATAAGAATACAATGATATTGTTAAACAAATTCCAGGGGAACTTATGATAAACCATACCTAAACACTGTAACAACTTGTCTGGATTTTACAGCAGCCTGGAAATTTTGCAGCAGCTTCATTCGGATTAAATGTGAACTGAACTGTACAATTAGAACTCATTTCCACATAGTATTAATTTTCACAGCTTGGAAATTAATCTCTGGTTGCAAGGGCTTATTTTCTAGGTATTTCCTCTAATCCGCAGTGAAGCTGATAATACTGTTGACAATTGCCATCCTCAGATTTTAGTCAATTGCTTGGAAAAAATGGGCAGTTGTCACCTTTCAGAATGACAGTTTGTTACAGAATTCAGGTCCAGTTTATCACAAGTTACCCAGGGCTATATCTGCAGTCCCCTTCAGACAGCACTGCTATGACTCATGCTCATATTTTATCTTCCTAATCATGAAACTTACAAAGATGTAATTTTTAAAATGAATGTTAAAATTCTGTTGTTTAAAATGGATCCATAAAGTCTAGAACTAAAATGGTACCATTAGAACATCTTCCATACCACAGGCAAATAAATTTCTCCCAACTTCCTCTGAATTTACCCCCATAATTTGTGTCTATACTTGTGTTTAAGCAAAGCAAGTCTGACAGATGCATCCAGTTAGTCTTGATGAATTTGTTCCAAGGACTAATAACAGCTAAACTGCGTGCCCTATTTATTCATTTGAATTTGTCTAGCTAGTGAAGATACTACATCAGATGTGACAAGCTGGGAAGGAATGATTAGCTGTTAAGATCATCATTAATTCAATCACTTTTGTGAGGTACTGAAAGACAGGAATTCCTGATCCTGATATTAGATTCATTAATGCATTTGAGAAGTCATTGACCTGCCTCTTGCCTCAGTTTCCCACCTGTAAAACTGTAATGATAATGCTGCCCTACCCATGCGTTTATGTTGGTTATCATAGTAAACCACATACCTTTGTTTTGATACATTTAAGCTGTGGATATATGTATAATTCATGGAGGAGTTCACTACTTTTCCCCAGCAATTCCCCCGCATCCTAGTTCACCCTCAAGCCTCTCTTTGTATCTTATCAAAGGGTGGGGATTATCTGTGAATTTATTTTCAAGGAAATTTTAAAGGGATGAAGATTATTTTAGCTATGAGTTGTACATATGGAAATACAGAATGAATGCATAGACAGTACTCTGACATCTGTGAAGCGTGATAGAAACACATATAATAAAATGCATAGATTCACTTCCAGTTTGAACAAACTTTTCATGCATACATTCAAAATAAAAGGAATACTTTAAACACATTTGTGTGATTGGATTATTTGAACATTGACAGTTCTTTTTTACAAAAATGCCATGAGAAAGATCAGGTTAATAGTATACTTCAGCATCAGGAACGACACTTTGGCACATTTTAGGAGTGTCTAACATTCTCCCTTGTCTACAGCTCAATTTTTGATCTATTAAAATACCCCAACACACAACAACAAAAACAAACCAGATGTACACATAAATTACTATGGCCTTAATACAGAACAAGAATACTCTTCAGTCATTATCCTGTGTTAGTGACAGTTTTCAGCAGCTGATGGGGTACTCCGTTTTCTGCAATATGAAAAGCTGCTTCCCTTAGAAACTTTCTATTACTACTCCCAGGCAATTTCTGCTGTTTTGAACAAAATGGCTTATTATGGATCTGCATATATCAAGACTGGAAAGTCAATCCCATTTGATAAAGAAATAGAAATAGAGAACTAATTGCAAAAATTGTTCAAAATTGCACTTTGCCAGCACTTCTTTATACTGCAGCTTCTTACACAGGACCCCAGATCCCCACGAATTAGCAAGGATCACCACTGGTGTTTTGTACATCCTTAGGGAAGGGATGGCATACAACTGGGATATGCATGTAATGCATGGAGATTGAACTGGTTTTTGCAGCAGCCACCGAAATTAGGCCAGAGCCTGCTATAATGATAGAAATCAATAGGATTTTTGCTATTGTTCTCATCTGGGCATATAAAGAGAACACAAATTATGTAGCGTCATGCTTGAGTAACCTATGTTAATATGCCTTAGAATACAAATTACTGGTCCTAATCATCACAATGATCAGTTTGGGTTTACAAATGTATTGACCAAGGACATTATTCCCAAAGACTAGCTTTAAACACTAACAGCAATCTCTTTCATCCTTCTCTACAACAGGAAGGAGGAAAACAAGAACTACCACAGAGTGATTCAGAGATCCCACGTTATGGTCCTCATCTGCACTGCTTTCTAGAGATGCTGATCTCTTTCCACTTACTACAGAGGGTGCCTAGAGTGACGAGCCTTCAATATTTTAAGTTAGCCTTTGGATTACCTTGCCCTTCCTGCCATCAGATGACTTCCCTATTTTTTCCTATGACTTCCCTATTTATTTCCCTATTTATATAACCTAAATTAATTCATAGGTTATCATATGAAAAAATTATTCTAATACCTACTTATGTTCAATGCCTGCTTATGTTTGACCACTGTTTCCTCTATACACCCAGGAAAGGAGGACTGGATTGAACCCAGCTGAAATCAAGGAAAATACATTCATCAAGGGGCGTTGGATCTGACCCTCTCTAATGCCCTGTTCTGGCGAACACACATTCTTTCAGAGCACATGGATTCAAGCCACATTTAACTTTAATGCTAGTTTGGCTCTGATAGGCTGAGGCATCCATTCCTGTACAGCCATAATATCCTTGAATTAATGCCATGAATACAGCTGGACTACCCAGATCCATAATGGGAGATCTTTGCACAAATTTTCATTAAAAGCTAGAAGGCATATATCGCAGTGCTGAAAAGACTATTGCACAAACATCCACAAGGAAGCTAAATACTGTTCTATACATTTTAAAGGTTTGTTTTGCTTTTAATTTCAGTTTATATTCCTGAAGAATCACTCTATCTTTATTTTTTTTAATTAGTAATTTTCAAAAGGTTGAAATAATTCACATTTAATAAGTGCAGAAATGGATTTTGGTTTCCTAAGTATCAAAATATGCTAACTATAAGTACTACTATTTATTATTTTTCTACTTTCTATTTTTAACGCATACCAATACCCTATAATTGTTAAGATTCAAAAACAAGCAAATGTACCCATCTGCTTTTTATGAATCCAGCCCATTGTGCAAGGAAAAGAAATCATTCTTTACACAAAGATTTGCTCTGAAATTGCTGCCAAAGAAAATAACTTTGAGTTATTTGCTGCATAACTGCCACATGAGTACATTAAGGGTGCCTAGGGACAGCTTCGTCTTGAGCATGTGACTTTTAAGAAAAAGCTTTAAAATTCAATACTTAAAAATTGCTACCATATCCCTTTTCTTTCCCCTGATTTTTAAATTAACTTCAGTTATCACATATAGGGAGAAATCAGATGGTTTTTGTTCCTACATTTTCGGTCATTTATCTAACAACGAGGGTTTGCATTGCTTGGTTGCAATGAATTCAGGATATCATTGGGATTGTTAAGGAAACAGGTATATGAACATATGTGTGTGTGTATGTGTGTGTGTATTACATATATATTTCATGGGTATTGTTTCCCACAAAACTGGAGAATGTCAGCACTGGTATGAAACCTGAATAACTTTCCAGCCCATTAGGATTAGATGATTAAGACTGCCTAACTGTGGAAGCCTAAAAGCTCAAGACCTGGGATCTGGACCTAAGGAAAGATATTTTTCACATAATCATGTAAGTCTTTGGATGGGAGGCCAATCTGCAAAGGGCTTACCTTTTCCTAGCCAAGACTTGGTTTCAGAACTGGTAGACTTCTGCTTACAGACAATTTTTAATATCCTTTTGGTGAAGTAATACAATTGCTCTGTCTCTCTGGAGTTGCACTGGGCTATCTGAAAGAAATGCTATGAGAGCAAACAGTGCGCTCTGGCAGGGTTTGAGGATCCCAAACGCATCTCTCTGAAAATGAATATTTTCCCCAGATTATCCCCTAAGTGTCCCCAGCCCAGACAGTATATATGGGCAGGGCCTCATGTCAGGTTCTTGACAGCAAAAGCCCTCTTAATAAATATGGGACCAGTCCAAAGTCTATTAAAGTTAATTGAGAGACTTGACATTGTGTCCCAGAACAACCATAACAGGGTTATGGGAAAAAATATTTGTTAATCAGTCCAAGGCAAGTATTCACCAAGCTCTGGCTTGAATGAGAAACAGCTGCAGAGTCCAGAAATAGAAATAATTTCAGGAGACCACACTGTGGAGGGGCAACAGGAAGAAAAGTGGCAGCAGAACTTTGTCCAAGTAGCAATATTGTTTTCTTTTCGTTCTAGATCAATGCTGGAAGAAGCACTTTAAGTGGATTATATTATACTGTAATTCAAAACCAGAAACCTGAAAGACAGCAGGGGCCCAGAGCCTATCACGAGATTCATTTCAGCTAAAAATCACAGCCATAAGCCCATACTGTTGAAGTTATATTGTCCAGAGAAATGTGATAGAGGAAGATATCAGAGAGACGTAGTCTAGCAGCTAGCTGAGCAATCAATACTCTAGAATCTCCCTCGAGCCACAGCTCTGAAGCATAGGTTTTTTAGAACTAAAGAAATATCACTGGAAACCTCAAAAATAGAAGATAATTTATATCCTTCTGATTAAACCGACTTTTTAGGCTGCTGGGTTTGGAATATGACACTCCAATCTTCTGCTATAATACATGCTTTGATACAAACAGTGTGAGGAGAACTGAATGGAAAAAGGCGGAAGAGATACACAAAACACTCTAAAAAGACTGTTAGCATTTCCTTGGCCTGCCTACTTATCTCACCCTGGCAGGCTAAAACATCCTAAGAAGCCCAGGCGTTTTTGTCACACTAAGGGTACAGATTCTTGTCAGAGAATTTCCTGGATGATAATTCAGAGAATCTAAATATTCCATGAGAGACACAGAAATCGGCCACATTTTGCTTAGGTTTTTTGCTGTTTTCTTAGATTTTTCCTGTTTCTCAGCCCTTATCATCACTCTCAGCAGTACTGATTTTTGGAATGGTCAAGTGAATCAGTAAGATTCCCAGTATGCAAAAAAGAAAGCAGTATACTTGCACAATTTATCAGGAATTCAGAGGAAGACAAAGATATACTTGAAAGACAGCTGAGGGCATTTAGATTGGAATTTCTTGAGTTTCCCATGCCTCCTCAACCAACTATGATACAACAAAATAAACCCAGTTAATATGACCTAAGTTTCCCATTTGAGCAATATTCTTTTAGGGTATGATGATTACAGGAAATATAGCTTTTGTACATTAATAAATGTGCAGACAGAAGAGCAGATCTGCCAGTACACTCCTCTGTTTTATGTTGTCCTTGAGATTTAACTGGATCAGTGCAAAATTACTAGCACAGAAGTGAATTTGACCCATGATTTTAACTGCACTTTCAAAGGAAAAGCCTTTATTCCTTTGACTAGGGCATTAATGTCCTTCCTTAAATGTATTATTAGCATTAATGATCTTGCACTTTTACTTTGAGAGTAGAATACACTTTCAGTTACTTTATGGTGCATCCATAATATGAAATTCAGGTATAGTTTGGGCATGCTTAAACACTCTCCATTTTAATAGGCTTCTTCAAAAGAGTATCACAGTAGTTTTTGTAATACTGAATCAGTAAGAAAAAATGTTAAATTTTATGTTTGTACTATTTTTGATATTCCATTGTTTCATACAGAGGTGACTCTGTACCATCTTTTTATTTGTTAAGCTTCAGAAGTTTTATCGGGTAAATTTCATCATTTTAGAGCTTTAAATCCCCCAAATAAAAATTTGTGATCTTTTTTATTATTTAGTACTTATGAGATGTAGTAACATTTTTAAAGATTTATTACCTTTCAGATTGCAATGCCAAACACAAGGTTTATTGTCAAATAAAGTATCATTTTGTTTTTTTGATTGCCTGTGTTAGAAGAGTATGGCTCGTACCAAATTATTTAATTGGTTTTGTTGAGATCTAATCCTGGAAAGTATCCCAGCCAGAAAATATACACACAGTGAAACAGCATGGCCAGGCAATAAGAATGGACTAAAAATTACTTCGGAAGTTGCTCACAATGGAAAACAAAAAATAAAAAAACAAAAAATTGAAATAAAAATCCTCAAGCAATAAAGTACCATCCTAATTTGCTTCATTTTCTTTTAGGCCTTTACCTAGCAAACAGTATCTCCCATAGTATGTCCTGCTGGATCTCATAGACCCCTAAATCCATATAAACTTATTCAAAATTATATGACACTACACCATTGGAAACAAACTACATAGAGTCAGACTCATGTTGGTTTAGGGAGGTGTGTAGCTGATGTCCCTGCATGTCATTGGCATCAATTTATAGGTATTGTCCTTGCTTGATCTCTTTTAGCATTCCCATTCCAGTGGCTTTAACATAAAGGCACATTCTCAGAGAAATCCACCAGCAAAGATACTCAGGAAAAACTCCACATCACACTCTCCGGATATGTAGTCTCCTTCTCTGTCATGCTTGAGTCACACTGCTTCCTGAATCCTCCACAGCAGTCAAAGCTCTGGCTACTTCCCGCTCCCACTTTTCTGCTCTGAGAGAGCACGCTCTGCTACAGTTTCTATCAGAAAAAGCTAGCAGGGGCATTGGATCCATAAAGTTTGAAGTATCATATGGACTTCTAATATTAATACCTAGCATTGAAGAAGTAGGGCAATCTAGTTTCCAAACACTATATAAGCATTAATTAAGTTTCACATCATCTCTTGGAGGTAAGCAAGTACTATCCCCCCATACAGCATCACGGACTCCAGCCCAAAAAGGTTAAGTGATATGTCTGAGTTTCACATTGAATTAAGTGCCAGGCCTGGATTATTGTGCCCCTGAATCAATCCTCTACTTGCTTTCTGGCTTTACTCTTCTTGGAGGCAGACTATGGGTTTCCATTTCACCATATTTCATGTGAAAATTATGCTATGGGGAGGGAAAGCAGATCACAGTATCCATCATGCAAAAGTTCTCTGTTCACTGCTTCAAGCTGCACAGGATGTTAAGGTGTGCCACATTGCCATTTTATTTCAAATAACAGCATTCTCCTACCATGCGGGGGAAAAAAACAGCTGTATTCAAAATACATGCAGCAGTTCAGCAAAAGCATGAAACAGAGTGGATCAGAGCTGCTGCCTTGTTCAAACATTCAAACCTGGCTATTTCAGGATCTTTTTTTCTGGTGAGAGGCAATAGCTCTTGGCTTTCAGCACTCACTGATCTCAGCAGGAGTGGGAAGCCTCTTCCCATACAGAAGCCAACTGTTTCAAATCCCTGTGAAAGAGAGGAGGGGCTCTTGATCCTGAGATCAGGTCTGTGTCCTGCACATATACGTTGTCTTCTCCACTTGGACCACTAGTTCTGCTGAATAATATTCCAGGAAGGTTTTACATATTTCATGTGTCAGCCAAAGAAACTGAATGGGTCAACTAACAGGTATCAGAATATCTTGTTAGCAGAGTAAGGAAATCCTTTCCTCTGCTCAGTACTTCTTTCTCTGAAAGAGCCTCTGGGGCTCTCGCTCTCTCTTCTGTTCAGCTTCTGATTAGAGTGGAACGAGTAGGCTCCAGCATCTCCATTCAGCCTCCTCGATCCTCTTCTGGGTCTTAGGCCAAGAAAGTCCACCCCAAACATCATTCTCTGTGAGACCACATTCAAGAAGAGTGCCTAATGTCTCTCCATTATCTTTAACACTAGACACTGTCCAATCCTTGAAGATCAGGCTGACTGAAGCTGGGTTAAATTCTGATGCAGGCTCATCCCTTCCGGAATGAATCACTATCATTTTTATCCTTATGTGCTATCGCATCCATTTAGTTAAGAAAGGCTGAAGGCTACAACTTGCATACAGGAGATAAACTGGCAAATTAGCCTGCTGCAAGCACTCTCCCCCTCCCCCCAGTGTCATTCAGAAGATCACAAAGGCCCCATCATGTATTAGTATTCTCACAGAGAAATCTAAGCTGTTTTTTTTACTTACTTTTCAAATTCTGAGTCCTTCATCCTAAAACAGGCGATCTCAAGAATTTGCCTTAGTGCTTGCCTCTGTATCTGTCCTGAATGGTTGTAGTCAAAAAGTCTGCAGCTCCTGATAACGCTTTTCACATTCTTCACAATCTACAAATTACAAGTGATTTCAATAAACAGGAAACTGATACTGACACAACTGACACAAATGCAAGCACTGGAAAGCTTTGCTAATATATAATATGAAATGCCATTTTATACCTCTTTCAATAATACAGAACAACCTTTCCTGGCAATGTAGGAAATGTAACAATAACACTCCATAAGAAATAAATATTTTGCATGTATTGAATTTCTAAGGCAACTTCCTTTTCGAATGGCACTGGTAAACTTGAAAACTCTTTTAGGCAAAGCAATGAATTTCAGATACAATTGATATATTTCAAATAGTAGATAAAGGATGTTCTTCCTTCAATGACTGAAACCTAGATATTTTCTAGAAACAAAATATCATCGCTTATGGCAGGTCTACATTTCATAAGTATCAGTGTCTTTCAGAATATCAGTTAATTATTTGCATTCCACATATATTGAAGCATTCTTTTTTTCTTTTCATTTCAAAAATTATCAAAATTAAGGACATGAAGGACCTGATAGAAAAAGGCTAACAAGGGACAAATTGATGAATATATTAACATTTTAGCAATTGCAACTCCCTTCTCCAAATCTGTTAAAAATCTCTGCAATCTGGACCTTGAAGTAAACTTGCAGACGGAAAACTGACAAAAAAGTAATTTTGAAGGGTTCCATGCTTATTCTATTCTATGCTGAATTTGCTCAGAAGCCATGCTTAAAAATATCACTCTTTGTAACTGCTACGTCTGCAACTACAACCTGGGAACTCAAAGTCAGGCTACGTTTTTTCTGGCTCACATAATAGCAGCAATAATTTATTAAGATTCTGCCACTGCTACTTACTCACTCATTCAAATGCAGCTGCCTGAGCCAGAATTAAATCCAGCTCAGCTGCGTATGCTCTGCAGTGCTACCAGGAGCAACAAGCAGGAAAAGTCGTTGAAGGAAATCCTGGTCACAGTGAAGTCAGGACTTCCATAGAGCTAGAATTTTGTATCTTGTTTGTTTGTTTTAAACGAAAGGGTTGAGATTCCAAGTCCAGTACTCCCACTACTGAGCATTTATACAGAGTGATATAGGCCTATTTGTGGCTGTAACTATCCACTGATGTAAGTAAAGGTTGCTGAGAAAAAAGTAGCTATGAATCAAGGCAGCCAGATTTGACTACTCCTTGGCAACTCTGCCTGGGAAAGGGATGGAAGAGGATAAAGCTTTTTCTCTTGCTAGAAGACAGACAGAATGAAAAACAATTTTTATTCATAAAACATGTTTTTTTCCTATGGTGATATTATTTAAGACAGCATGGTAAAATTCAAATAAAAAAGGATTATACTTCATCAAACTAGGCTAGAATTTCTCTGTCTTGCCATGATTTGCAAAACATTTCCACCATAACTCCAAGCTCTCCACAGAGAGAGAAATGCAACAATATTGATTAATTTCTCCCTGTATACCAGTTTAACTGAAACGGACCATTTAATGGATGAAGCACAGGTTTGGATACTGTGATGTCTGGCACTTGCACTTTTCTGCCGTTTGGATATGACCATTCGTCTTTATAGGTTAGATAAACTAAGTACCAACCAGTTTATGCTACCATCATCTTTCAGCAGAGACATTAGAAACAATGTTCCTGTTTGTTCTCCAGGGTATTAAGGATATCACAGCACTTTTAGCAACAACGAGGCCTTGCGGTAGTGTCTTTGGCATAATGTTCTCTGTTGTCACTGACACATGCCAGCTGGCTGCTGCTCCCCACCCCTGCAGTGACTGCACTTCAGCAGCATTTATGCATGTGAAGCACTTGGGGATCCCTCGGGAAGAAGTGAGAGAGTGAATATTTAAAAGTATTTTCTTATATTTCAGAAGCACAAAGGGTATCCATTGAAAACACGTCCCTTATAGACATCATAACAGGAAGGACTTCCAAATATACTCTTACGCAGACTGCAATTTACTATGAAAAGATCTCCTGCCACAAATCACTGAAGTTCATTTTGCTAGCAATGCAATTGCCAACTACTATATACCAAGGCATTTCCCTCAGCAACTGTATGTTTCACAGATCTCAGCTTCTAAGGTGCCACCTGTGTCATGTGTTGCTTCCCCCTCTCAGCCTTCATGGAACCTGCCTGGTGGCTCAAGATATTTGGCAAGGGCAGGAATGAAGATCTGGAAAGGGGCTTTCATACATTCCTGTTGCCTCAAAATCTAGAATTCTGTCTAAAATAACATATACCCCCTTTCTGGCACCAAATGAGTCGGAGAGAGGTTTTAGGGAATGCCTGAGATGAACAAGCCCCTAGCATCATGGTTAGAAAGAGAACTGTGCTTTCCAGAAAAGGCAGCAGGCTGGATGGGCAGGCAGGGAAGTTCTGCATACATGTGCTGACAAGGCTTGCCTATCGAGGGGAATACACACGGGGGAGATAAGGACAGACCCAGTGTTTCTTCTGCAGGAAACAAAAGCTGCTTGCCCTTGACTCAAGGATCAGAAGCAAAATCTGTGTGTTCAAACTTGTGGCTGCGGCCCCTCATTAGAGTTGTTCTGCCACCCTAATAAACAACATATGGGAAATCTGGGTATTATTGTTTGCCAAAAAGCAAAAATAGCAAAATTTTAATGGCAGCAATGGCATATTCTACAAAAATATGCTGTAAGGAGTAAGTTTGGGACACAGTGGTAAAACATGCTGCCTTCTTCCATTTTTGTGAAAATGTGTAAAAAATGCATAAATTAGCAATGAAAAACCCATGCAATAACACCTGGCACCCTCTCTGGCAAAAGGACTAGAACTCAGGTGTGCAAAGCCTGCAACACAGGACAGCCTGGAAGCTTACTGCCCCGTCGCCATTCCTGAAGGGACTGTGCATCAGATCTCATATCATGGGGTCTCCAAAATACCCCTCTGGAGGGAGCAGGAGGTGCATTCTTCCATGTGAGGCAAACTGGACAGGGCAGGGAAAGGAAGACGCTCTGCTTTCATAGTCTATCCCAGGACAGTCTGACAGCGCTCTGTGTCAGTCTCTCTGTCTGACTATCCTTTTCCTTCAACTAGCACACCCATGCACACAGGAACACGCAGATTTCTTGCCCTTCATAGCCCCCTTCTGTAAAAGGAAGAGGAGGGTAGGGGGAGCTTTTAGAGTTATGAGACATGCCTTGTCACCAAATGGAAGATTTCAATCTGCAAAGATCTATCAATCTAGCATATTACACACAGAGAGATACATGCATCATATTTTGTTTGTTTTGTTAAAAAATAAAGAAAGAAAATAAATGCATGAAAAATATTCTTCTCTTGCTACAAACACATCAATGCTCATTTTCTCTATATTCTACTTTGGGCCATTTTGTGTAAAATCTTTAATTAAAGTTTTTCTTTGAAATTGTCATCATCAAACCAGAAGAAAGAAAGTAAAAAATGGAAGGACACAGCTGTGCATATACGAAGTGCTATTCAGTACCAAATGAATTGGAACAAAATAAGTATCGTGACTGTTATGCTCTTAGTTTTGGCTCTGTATTCTCAGTAGCACAGTCTAACTTGTCACTTTATATTGATTCCATCTGTTTACCCTCTGCAGAGTATTGGCTTCCTACGGTGAACATTTCCTATTTACCAGCTGGTAAAGATAGGCCCAAACCAGATAGAAAAGAATTAGACTATTTTCAGATCCTCATAAATGTAAAAACCAAAATTAATGGGGGAGGGGAGATAAAAGGAGGGGGAGCGAGGAAGATATATGGGGCCTGATGCTTGTTCATACTGATAGCCCTTTATACCCTGGTAACAATTTTTAGAGATCTTGAAATTTGTGTAATGAGTATATAAAATAAATCAACTTCCAGGCCCATTTTTACATTTCAAATTTACAATAAGGCTGTTCATGCAAAGTGCATCAATCCTAGTACTTCAGTAATCTTTAAAGAGAAGCAATTGGGACCTCATTCACACAAGCCAGCTAGTAGTGAAAGACCTCCACATAAAATGGATGCACACATGTAGTACAGAGCCATCTTTGCACTCTGACAAACTTGAGTTTTCATTATTTCCTTTTCTTACTTGCTGGATTCCTTTCTTAAGGAGACAGTATCATTTGGAGGAACTGACTCACCTCAGGAGAGTCTTTTTGCTGTTATAAAAGACTACTTCAGGTTGCAACATGGGCTTATTTCTTAAGACTCAGGAACACTGTCACTGAAATCTAGGCTCCTTTCTGTGATGACATGTCCTTTCGCAAATATTATTGGGGATCAAATCCTGTTCCTATTTTTGGAGATCTAGTAGCCAAACCAGTGAAATTTCACTCGATAAGGAGAAAGACGACTTGGGTGCTTGGGAGCTGAGCAGACCTTTATTGAACAGGTCTCTGCAGTGCCAGGGCAGTTGCATGCAGTCAGGGCATCAGCTGGTCAGGAGTATGGAAAAGAAGGGTCTGGGGTTCTGGTGTTACACAAAATTTCTGGTTCTTGTTACCCTCAGCACATAAAGAAGTGTATAACTATCCCAACTACACTGCTGCCTTACTTCCTCAAACACTCACTCACTCACTCAGTAGAGAGGAGCTCTTTCACGCACCATCATTCACATATCCAGGCACACATCTGTTTAGCATTTGGCCCAGCTTCATGGGCTAAGTGCTTTGCTTAGGAAGCAGCACTGGGAATTCTAAACATTGGGGCCATTTTTCTACAGAATGCTGTTACCCCTCTTCCTTGATCTTTTCTTTTTTTTTTTTTAAACTTGCTTTTCCCAAGATAGTGACCTTCAGTAGTAACATTTTATTGCACGTGACTAGAAACGATGGAGAAACTCCTATAGCCAAAGCTAAACTTAAGAGCTGTGCCCTGGCATTTGAAACATTCAAAATCTTTTCCTACCTTATCTTTGCTTTACTGAGCAGGTAAGGTTAACTACAAAGGCAGTAAGGCATACTTCCCACAAATACAACTGATAACTTTAGCATCATAAAAGCACTCAAGGATATGTTTGGATCATTTGATTAAATGAAGTGTCAGCATGGCTACAGCGTCTAAGTGCAGCAGAGTGATGAGAAATTCAAGGCTGTCTGTCAGGGCTCGGTTCCCTTATGACTTTTCACTGGCTTGCTGTTTTCTTGATTTTGGCTGTTACAGTAGTTATAATGCCTAAATACAGTTATATGTGCCCAGGTTTATGTGGTAGGAGGTCTGAATATGGCTCTCTGTCCCTACAAGGAGAAAACTAGTATACTTTTTTCTTTTTTTTTTTTTTTTTTTTTTTTTTTTAAACTGGGGGGTTTAGGTTTTTTTTTTTTTTTTTTTTTTTTTTTTTTTTTTTTTTTTTTTTTTTTTTTTTTTTTTTTTTTTTTTTTTTTTTTTTTTTTTTTTTTTTTTTTTTTTTTTTTTTTTTTTTTTTTTTTTTTTTTTTTTTTTTTTTTTTTTTTTTTTTAAACTGAGGGCATTAGGAAGTTCTTTCTCTCTTTTTTTTTGTTTTGTTTTTTAAATGTGCACACACAAATTCACAACCCAATCAAAGTAACCAATATAAACATATCCTCGACTGATGATGGGCATCTAAATGGACGCAGAATACAGTTTGGCTTGGGACTAACCACTGTGACATTTCACAGATGAATATTCATTTCCAAGATTGTATGAGTTCTTCAGTGTATCTGAACAATTATCTGCATACATCATGCACTTACATATGCTGAAATACTTATTCAACTGAATTGTTGCTGGAATATTTATGTAGTGGTAACCTTTCCTTAAGTTAATATTTTCTGTTAATATACTAAAAATACACACAATAGCTCTATTTCACAATGTCCTTAAAAAAGCATACCAGAGAACTTTGTAAATTAAATGTGCCAGAACCCTAATTAGAGCATTGGAGGATATTGTACAATTTATGAATTGAAAATGAGATTATATTTCAGCTGTTTCTTTTGTGATAGGAAATGCTTAACATGAAAACATAGATGTTACTCTTTAGTTAGCTGCATATAGCCAAATGAATAAAAGCTATGACATTAATAATAACTATACCCAGCTATGATTGATAGGCTTTTCTACAGCAAGGAAAGATTGTCTTGGATACAATCTGTCCTAACAGCCTTGCGATATGTTAATATTTTATTCAGACTAGAGTGAGGATATATTCAGATGTCCTTCCCAGTATAAGGGAAGCAAATGGGTTGCAAACACTACTGCAGCCTTGAGGTGCAATAACAGCTGTGAAATCAGGAAGATTTTATTTCATCCTCCCAAATTACAGGCCAAGCCCATGCCAAAGCACAGCAGGAGGTTGGATTTTCCTTGGAATTTACATCAGGTTATGCTGAATGTATTTTTTTCTTCTATGAAGAGACATGAGGTAGAGACAGCAGACTCACACAATGCTCTAGAAGGCATGGAATATTTTCCTGAGGACCTCTGTGTCCTTGAAAATAGTAACTATTATCAGGCATGATATCTTGGCATCAGGTTAACTCAAAAATATCCAAATACAAGATCACAACGGTGATGAACAGATTTGCACTGGCTCAGTCTATGAAGAAAAAAGTAAAAAAAAAAAAAAACACACCCTAGCTTTCCCAACACCACAATACTACTTCTTCATCAGTCTTAAAAAAAAAAGTTGTTCTGCTATTCAAAACTGCATCAGATATTTCAGTAGCCTGAGCTCTCAGGTGGCTGAATATTTTTAAGTAAAAAGAATACAAATGCCTAAAATGCCATTTTTCCGATATGATAAAACATTTTATATTAGTCTTGCAAACAGGTACAATTACAGAAATTGTACCGCCGTGGAGAATCTGGTTTCTTAAATAAATCAGGCCTTGTTATTTGAGCCAGAAGCATTTAGTAATTGAGATATAAAAATCACAGTGGGACTAAGGTAGTCCTGTGCCAGAGATCTGTTGCAAGACTGTTTGAAAGAGAAGAGTGCTTAGGTTTCTGATGCCAAAAAGGGATTCTCAGTGTGGATTAGAGTAGAAGCTTTCAAAATACTACTTAGTACTTAAAAAAAAAAACACACAAAAAAAAAAATCAGCAATAACACAACCCAGTTATACCACTATGACCAGATCTGCATTAAGGAACCACATGGCAGCATCCCTCTAAACATGTTATTAAATTAATATCAGTAACATCAGGAGCAGCAAATATTTATTATTATATCCAAAGTGAATTACTATACCAGCATTTAGTTTCTATTACTACCCTGAACAACATACTTTCTCCTTGAGGAGGGATTCCAGTTGATTTAATGTCATTATTTGGCTACCTCGGCTGTTGTTCAACCTAAAAATAAATAATATCATAAAAAAGATTAGATGTACATATAACACAAGTGCATTATAGTATTGTTGAAGACCACTGTAGTGACATTAGTGGGAGTTTTGCCTTAGCATGCGAAGAACTATAAACACAAGAAAGTAGCTTGATCCTGCTTTCATTCTAGCTGCTGTTCACAGCCCTGCACTGCTCCTTGAGCAAGTGTCCACAAATCTAGATCCCTTGGCAGAAGTGAGATTCGGCAGTTGCTCCTCTACCACAAGCATGATAACTGCTAGTGCAGAATACTTGTGTTCAAGTAGCTTCTTCAGCTGCTATAAGGGACATAAAAGGCTATTAGCAGCTAGATTTGGCCCTCGGAATAATGGAGGACATGGGAATCTTGAAGATGGGAGAGTTCCAGTGCCAGTTCTCCCTCTCCCTCTACTCTCGTCAAGTGTTCCCTCAGACAGCAATGAGCACCTCTCCCCCTCAGAACAAATCTGAGATCCACTCATCACCAGGAACTTTTAAAATTATTTTTAAAATAAAAAATAAAGACACATTAATTTGCTTTTACTTTTGCTTCCTCATGCCATTGACTTGCATCAAGCAACAGAACAGGTCATTTTCATAGTCAGCTATTAGCAAAGTTTACATTCACAAGTGGGTTCTTTGGGTGCTGAGTCCTATTCACTGCACACCTTTCAGTGGTTCGGCTTTAAGCACATGCTCCTGAAAAGCATTGTGGAATTTTATTCATATTTGAATTTGTGGAATGAACTCCTAAAAATCAAGCTCTCCCATAACTTCAGCCTCTGAATTCAGTGGAATTGCCCGAGTTTTAAATCGGGAGAGAAAGTAGCTCTAATAATCCCTCTCAGCAAAACTTCTTCGGAAAAAAAGCACCTGTACTGCCCTCCAGTGGTGAAATATATTCACAATCCTACCATTATTTTGGCTTCCCTACATTGCACACATTTTCAATGAAGTTCTCTAACAAACTACCTAGCCAAAAGACAATATCTTCTAAACCTGATCCTTACCTTCTACATTTTAGTAAGTTTAAAAGTAAATCAAGAGTAATATCTTGTATATTCTTCCTGAAAGTTAGAGGGAAAAAAAAAAATCTAACCCCAAGTATATAATAAGCTTTACCATTTTTATTATTTTCTATGTAATTAAGAAAAGATTAACCTTTCACTCCACAAGAGATCCCTCATTTGTTATTTAATTAGTTTTTGCTAATTAATTAGAATTTTTTAAGCTCCTCTGTCTCTCAGAGAGAGTGGCTTAGATCCCTCCCTTTTTCTGCTTTTCTTTTGCTGCTCCTCTTCTTCCTCCTGCCTCCTTTCAAAGTCCTAATCCTATTTTTCTATCCTCAGTATTACATTCTTTCATTCACTCTTTGTCTGAGAGTCTTCTAGCTTTGCCCTTGCTGGGAGCAAAGTTAGACTGGAATTTACATAATATTTTCTGAGACAGCTCCTTATTGAAGCCCTGAACATACAACCCCACAGTACAAACTGAAGGAAAAGGACTCCCTGCAGAATTCCATCTTTTACATTGCACTAGGGGTGGGGAGGAAGAGTGTGGTGCTAGAAAACATTTAGTGCTCCACTGAGAAAGCTACTGTGAAAGTACAGAATTTTTTATGTTATTTATTTTTATGTAGTATATCTCTACTTTCCATTTTACTTTTCAAGCAGCATTCTTCTTTGAAACGGAAGAATCCCAGCTTAATCCCAGTTCACACAAAGTTGGTTTCTCTTCAGCTTTATCTTTGAAAAGCTGCTTGCATTGGAAATGAAGAGCAACACAAGTTGGTTACTTCTAAATGAATGAATCCTGTCACACTGTAACTTTCCCATTACTGAGACCTTTATCTCGGCTTCTATGTTTCACTTAAAAACAGGGCAGGTTGAGTAATACCTTTTGGAATTCCTATTTAATACAATTGTTTATAACTTCTTTCATATTCAATAACTCTTACTGATGAGTCTTAAAGGTTCATGCATTTCCATGAGCAGATCAATGGCTTAGCAGACCATTCCCTTTCCTTTGGCAATCACATAACTTTCCTATGGCAACTACACCAATCACACATACAGGGGAAAAAAGAAAAAGCACTTTTAGAAAATTTATTGTATCTCTATCTCACTATAAGCTCACATGAGAAGCTGGATTCTGCTTTAAAAACTAGACAACTGGCAAGTGATTCATTATTACAATTTAGGAGCAATTTGACTGCACAGTATGAAACACTTACCTTTTTAGCATGCTGGTACTTCTGGCAACTTCAGTGAACTTTGAGAGGAAGTCAAGATAGGGCACAGTAACTTTGCCAATATTTGGGACCTGTATTTCAGTGAACATGGATAAGAACATGGATAAGAACATGGATAAGAACATGGATAAGAACATGGATAAGAACATGGATAAGAACATGGATAAGAACAGATATTTCTAAATACTTCCATTTGCATTACTAATTTATTCTTTTCTTAAAGGACAAAAAATAAATTTATCTTATAATCTTGCCTTTGTTCTGTGCATCATACATTTTTTCTTATCAGCAACTTGTCTAGAATTAAACAGAGCATGAATTTAATACCTAGTAAATCCCCCAACACAAAGTTATAGACTACAAGTCTTTCCATCATGTAAAAGAAGGATTTTTTTTTTATCTAGCTCTGATCTTTTCTATCTGTTTGTGAAGGTCTATTCATTCTCATCAGCGTCTGCAACACACCCTTCTGTTGTTCAAAAGGAACGTGCATTTCAGCTGTGTATGCATCCCCATATTGACAATTTAGTACTAGCAAGAAGTTTAACATCAATCTTAGCTAAAATGAGGTTAGCCTTTTACAGACTTATTAGTTTAAAACACAGCGATAACATCTCAGCTCACCCACATTAAACAAACAAGAGTCAACAATCAAACTCACTAGATAAAGATATAAACCTTAACATCTCTTACACTTTCCGGACAGTAATTTAATTGCACAATAATGCTGGTGCAGACTGTGCTTCAGAACACTCCCCCATTTTGGATGTGTCAGCCATAATATCATGTGTTCCCCAATGTTCCTTAAAGTCCACTCTGATTTATGCCACCTTATAAACCACAGTCAGAAGTTAGCTGATAAACTCCCAATACAGACAAAAAGCATGTGGTCTTTGATTCGTAGTGTACAACCTGATCTATCCACATTGGTAACACTGCATGTATATTAGTTTAAACTGCAAGGAGTTTTTCTGGTTTTTGGGTTTTTTTTTTTTTTAAATCACAAAATCTTACTAGCAAACTGCAACCCTTTCAAGTAGTGAGACAAGCCACACAGAATCCTCTTATAAAATAGCAACGGCCAAATCCAGTGCACGTTTCTTTTGCAAGTTTTCCACTGCTTCCGTTTGAACTACTCGCATAAGGATGTGATCGTGTCTAGCATCTCTTTCATAATACTGGTCTGGAACCTGCTCCCATTGAAACCTGTGGAAATGTTGTTCTTGACATCAATAAGAACAGCCTCTAAATGATTATGAACAGCAATGACATAGCATACCTCTGCCAGCACAGCATCAAACTCGGCTTGGGTTAGAGGGAAAAGAAAAGTTTCAATCACTCTCCTAAATTCATCCTTTGTGATTGTCAGGGTTTGACCAACATCAAGAGTTTGAAATGCTTTTTTCAGTTCATCTTCTTTTTCAGCTGTCTTTTGAAGTAAGATCTGCCCAATGTCCCGGGAGAATAATGTGCGATCTGGGACAGAGCTCACAGATGCAGCTGTAAAATATATTAGGCAGTCATCACACACTCCTAAGCCTGGTGAAGTCACACATTTTTCTGAGAATTCAGTACAAGCCAGTTCATCTCCAGAGATATACAAGCAAATCAGTTATTTTTTGTCCACTGATTTGAAAGCAATGAATGAAAACAATTTTAAGTATTTTAATAAGATACCCACATCTTTTTCTGATACTATAGCCAAAACAGGAACTCGGAATATACAGTTACATGTTCAAAGTTAAAAAAACAATAAATAAAGTCACACTACATAGGCACATTCTTTGACAATAGCCCTCCCACTTGAGACTACAGATAGGATTTCTTTGCCTTGTAAAAGTTAGAGACTTTATTCAGTTATTCAGCCTTGGGTAGAGATATCACCTACCAGTGGGATCAATATTCATTGTCTGTACGTGAAGTCTACCACTGCAGAGTCTTTAAAGCCTACTCAGCCTCCTCCTCCTAAAAACATGTCTGGCAATGAAGAGAGTGAAAGTACCTGACAGTACCACGCAGCGTACAGATACCTCTGGCTCTCAGTAGACTCAAATAATAATTAAACAAGGACCAAAAGATTTGGCCTGATGTTTCTGTTGGCTTAATAATGAGCCAGACTGAGCTATAGCTATGAACATTTAATTAACTACCACTTGAATCAGTGGGGGTTTTATACACAAATCTGAATACAGAGGCTAGTTCATATTTACATTTTTTCCATACTTTCGTCTAGGATCTGCTCTTAAACAAAACACAGTTGCCTTCAGAGGAAGCTTTGTTTACAAGAAGGAAGATGGCAACACATGTTTTTGGTTATTTACAGCTTTGTTGCTGTTTTACAGGAGCCATCTTTTTTCTTATGCTCATCCCTTTCTTACAAAAAGGAAGATGCAATCATGGATGCCTTGTACATTTCATTTTAACTTTTGAGTCATTCTTACAAAAGAAAGCATTCAAACTCACAGCTGGATATAGCTTTGGTGAAATCAATAGAGCTGTCACAGCTTACCCCTGCAATGAGTCTGACCCTAAATCTAAACTACATGGCAAAGAGAGAAGGAAAAAGTGACATGAACTGTGATGGAGGAAGCCTTGCATGATAACTTAAAGTCACTTGCAAGAAAAATGTCCACTTTGGGATTAGCAGCAAATGCATACTTGATTGGAACAAACTGTCGATCTTACTGCTCCAAAAAAAAAAGAGCTTTCTGTGGTAAGTGTATAGCCATTTCAAATGATTTCCTAAAGGATAAGATGTATATCAAGTGTGATAATGGGTAATAATTGGCAAGTTATCTGTAGTGATTTAAGAATATGAGAGAGACAGAGGTCCAAAGCAGGAATCTCTCTCAAGATCCAATGGACTGCAGAGAAGGGAAGAAAATAAAGACCCTGTTTCCCTACCAGAATGCAAGCAGGAAGAGGAGGAGTTAGGTGAGAAGAGCCATGGCTCCCTCCTCCACCCTCTCTCCATAAATAGAACAAGATTGATTCTGTTGGTGTCCAAAGGATTTAGGGAACGTGTTGCACCTTCTCTCAAAGTACTTCACAAAACATGCCTCAGCCAACTCTAGATGGCACAAGGGATCCTTGGCCACAGCAGCTTGCTATGCTGAAAGATACCACTGACCCCAAAGCAAGTAACAGGACAGAAGGAATTGAGGGGGCAATGCTACCTGCAAGCTAGACAGAGCTTATCCTCTCAGCAATTGAAAGATTTTGAATTAAAGTCCCCAGGCTACGAAAACTTAGATCTCAGTACAAACCCGCACCTGATTTAATTGAATTCTGCCTGTCACCACACAACGATGCTCTGCTTTGCGTAGACTGCAGTCGTGGGTTAAACGTGATTCCTTGAGAGAAGGAGTGTAAGGCACTTAAGTCTTCTGCCTTTGTCACTCTGGCCATGGCTTCCCCTGGATTTAAAACAGAATTATGAGAGTACATTAAAATATAGGACAGAAAAAGAAGTAGCATGGCTGACAACAGCAACAAGAGAGACAAAAACTGATTTCTTGACATGAAGCCTAATTTGATGATAAAAAACGTTGACTATGACAATATTCCAGCACAACCACAGACATTTTGGACTCCTTTCATCTGGTCACTGCTAATCAACTAGAGCTATCTCCTATGTTGGTGCTTTCAAATATGCAGTTTAGAGTAAGTAACTCATTTACCAAATAACAGAGAATTATCTCTCAAAGGGTTTTTGGCTATTACCTGAACGTTATGGACATTTAAAAAATGCACCTTTTTAGTTAAAAAAAAAAACTGCTATTTTAACTGAACAGTTAAGTTGCTCAGATGTTTATTATAGACTGTTGCAGGAGAAAAATCCATGTACCAGACACCAGCTCATTACACTAATTACTTTGTTTTACGAAGACCTATTAGTAATTTTCCTCACCAGGAAATTTGAGGCAAACTACGCAGTAAGTATAAACAGAAAAGCTAACAGGGAAAATAATTGGACAGAGACAGTATTGCACAGCATATGCAATGGTTTTCTAAGTGTGGCTCAGTGGTGACCCACTAGGCAATGTTGAGTGGCCTGCATCTTCTCCATGCACCCATACAACTTGAACAGCGCTTACAATTACAAATACCATTATGTGAACTCTTGCTAGAAATTCTGAGAATTGACACTGCTCTGCGCGTCAAAAGTTTGGGAGCTGCTGCTCTTTAGCATATTCAGATATGCTGAGGCGTTTGTACTTGCCTGTTTGGAATGCATCTTAAGGGCTAATAGAATAAGAGGATCTAGCTGACGGTCCTATCATCCATTCTCTTACATACTGTTTTATGGTCATTAGTCATACAAATACTTTCAGATATTTTCAGTGTTACGCATTGGATCCCAAGGTAATTCTACTGTATTTATGTAGTTAACCCAATCTGACACTTCAAAGGAAATGCTTTAAAAGTCTGAGGCCCTATTTTCCTTTTCATAAATGTAATTTGAAACCAGAAATTTGGTTCCCCCTCAGAATGAATGACAGAGAGTGAAATATTTGTTTCTTTCTGATACACACCAATCAGTTACATCTAGTTCCTGCTATTCAGTTACTATAGTACAGAAGGTAAATGTTAGTGCAGCACATTCTCTGATGTCTACAGCATTTTAAAAATCCAGCATGTTATATACAAATAACAAAAGCCATACAGGAAGTTCAGTAAATTCCCTGTAAGGAAGATGAAAAGTAAAAATAAAGCAGAGCCAGCACAGCTGAGTAAAAACAGTGGGACAAGAGAAAGCCCACTAGTAAAAATGCAGCACAGTACAGCAGAGCCCTTCCTTCCCCCCGCCGCCACGCCCCAAAACAAACAGCACATCACACACCTCAAGAGTCTAAAGTTTCCATTGCTTAGCTCAGTGCTTTGAGCTACTCTTAGGAAGAAAAACAAGCAAACAAACTCTTTCTGAGAACTTGAATAGTCTTATTTTCATGTTATCAAACAGAAATTAAGTAGATCTGAGTAGACCACCCCCACTACTTAGCAAGCAGCAAGTTAAGCTGTACTGGGTACCATCCCTGGGCACTGCAACTTCATTCTCTACACAGTCAAATTATTAAAACAATCTCTGGTTAGGTTTTGACCCAAACCATAGCTTGCATCAAGTAGCTTCTTGGGCACATTTTAGGATTTAACTTGGCCAGGCACGATTCCCAACAGGCAGTTTGTATTCAGCCAGCCTCTTAAAAGGATTTTATAAAAGGATGAGAAACTTTATCAGTCTAGACGTGGACTACTCCATGCCAATTCTCCTCAGCGCCAAGAAACACTCAAAAGCACACTTAATTTAGTAGCATAGCTCATCTACAGCAGTAACCCCTGGCAGAAGCCCTAACTCCGTAGCCATCTATTAAAAGAAATTAACCTCCAAGAATCCTTTCTCCACCATTCAGGTGGAAAATAACTTTTTCCTCTTCATCTGATACATGAGTAAGTGTCATCATTACTACGATCACTTGGCTGATGCACTTGCTATTGCACCCAAGCAAGTTTGGCTGCCTGGAAACTGTAAACAAGGAGGGTCCATTTCCCCAGGCCAGGAAAGCTCAGATTGCTATGCTAAATGAAAGCATAGTTCTGGCTGCAAGATCTAACCTTTCCTAAATCTGAGCAGACAGTAAGAGTATTTGAAACAAACAAATGCAAGCCTACTTTGCCATTTCCTTTCTGAGCATCACCACACTATCTCAGATATTGGGGTTTCAACAATAAACAGATTATGCCAGCTATCTGTATCATGCCCAAGCCAGAGAGAAATTCAGACTCTTCAGCACTACTCTGCCCTATTTACTGTTTCCTCAGACATCCTCATGGGTTTAAAATCAATTTATTAGCAAAAGGACCACTCAAACAGCAAAGGCAGCAACAGCCATGTGACTTGGTACTTTGGCTAGAATTAAAAAAAAAATTAAGTAGAAACACAGCCTACTGCTAATGAGGTCATTAGCAAAACTCTCTTTGACTTTACAAAGTCTGGAGGGTGTTTTATTAGATTCTTAGACATTTTCTGGTGGAAGTATACATCCGTGTCCACCCCTGTCTGAAAACAGGCTTGCCTTTCTTAGTTGTCTTTCACAGACTCTTCAGAAACAGTCCATGGACCTTATGGTTGTAGGGAGTCCATGTACTGAAAGTCAAAGATTACTACACAGAACTTTAAAGTTTTATCAGATACTGAGCTTGGATCTCTTCTCATTTAGACCACCTTCACACCAGCAAAATATCAATGCATAAATCAGGAATAACGCAGCTACACTAAATAGCTCCTGATTTATATGTTACATAGAATTCACACTGACACATACAAATATAAGCAGTGGATCTGATTTATGACCTCTTAAGCATGCTCCTACTAGTCTTAGCGCAAGATCCTCAGCTACCATAAGTCAGAATAGCTCTGCTTGCTTTCCTATCTTCAATAAAATTATAGTATTTACAGCCACTGAGGGGTTTGGCCCTCATTTCTTCTCATTTCAATAATTTAACCGATAAAAGCTTCAAGTGTCTATACACGAAGTTCCTGCATCGGAGCCATGTTTGAATATAGTTGTAAGATGGATGGGTCTTACAGAAGGATAAAAATGTATTTCTGGCCAGTCTGGATAGAAACATAGAAGACATTTTACTACTAACAGGATAATGAGGAAATATTATTTCAGACAAACTGTTTCAGCCAAACCAGAGGAACCACGTCCTTTCCTTTTCTAACAACGATAAATGAAGCTCTGCTTCCTTCTTTTTCATATTTATTTCTGTAACTTTCCGTATTTTGTATTGTGCTTGGCAAGGCAGATAACAAGTCTCATCTTCATTTTCTCTTAACTTTTTTTTTTTTTTTTTTAAAAGCCTAACATATTCTGTTTTATAGAACTTAAAAGAAAAGGATAGCTGCAACCTTACCTTTTAATGTTTTATTTGCTTGAAAGAGTGCCTAGCCTCTGTAATTGTAAGAGAGCAATTAAGGTTATGAGTTCTCCTGTGCATATCAAGAGTGAATAGTTAGTGGCTTTAGCACAATTTTTTGTTCTCATCGTGGGGTTACATCAAATGACTGGCAGCAGAGCCACACTCGAGTACAAGCTGCTGGGTGATCTGAAATGGGCTACCCAGAGGCTTCTACAGCAAGTCACCCTGGCATCCAAATGGTGGGTGAAGCAGAGACTTCTTGGGGACTCACTGTTATCTCTCCCCTAACAAGTGTTCTTGCAGCTTCCTGTCTCTGGGGTACATGGCATCTCTTTGCCTGTGCTTTTTAGCTATATGAAAGACTTCGCTACACAAATCATAGGCTATCACAGGCTATCCTGTCTTCATATTACCTTACTTTTTCCCTTTTCTCCCTAACTGCAATTCTGAAATCTTTAATTAATGTATTCTCAGTCTGCAGCTGCTACTCTTCCCTATTCTCTTTCCATGGCTGGGGGAGGGGGGAGAGGAAGGTTGATTCTAGAAATCTTGTCTATGCAGAGCCAGTGTTTGTCCTGCTTGTGGGCTGAATAAAGAAGTCTTCTCCTCATTTTGTATAGCCTCATGTAAACCAGGGAAAACAGTAGTGGCACTTGCTCTGTGGGAAAAGCAAAACAGTAGCAAATAAACATGAAAGCCTCTCTAGAAAGAGTGATGGATTGCTTCAACACTGTATCCTCTCCCTCATGTAGGTTCAGCCTACGGGACATGCTAACGCAGAGCTTTTCAGATTCTGGCACACGTATCACTTATGCAGACAAATTACCTCCAAGTGCTCTGCCCCTTAGAAGGTCTAATGTTATCCAAGTGGCTTAACCTCCTCACTTGTGCCTATGTATATCAAAGAAGGCAGCAAAGCTGGAAACATACCTCCTACTGATCAGGCAGAGGACCTGGCACCTTTTAGTTTTGCAGTCAGTGGTGATAACCTTCTCACTGCAGCTGGTGATGGTTCTTGAGCAAATATGGATATTTCCGCTCCAAAATTCAATTCTGATGAGTAATATAAAAGACTGAAACAATCTACAGGATGTATACTTTGTTTAGTTAAGAGAGTTTTATATATCATGAGCTCAGAGACTATATAATTTATTATTCCAAAAGGAGACATTCCCAAAAGGTTAAATCCAACTTGCAACATTTTGAAAAAGGGGAGTTCAAGACATTCAAAAGCACACAGGCCTCCCCCTATACTGCCCTGTACTTTGCCAATGTGAACAGGTCATTTTGGCTCTCAGGACATGCTCTAGGATGAAATACAGTAAGAGCCTATTAGCCCATCTAGGTCTCGGACTATGCAACTTCTCTTTTCCAGGTACTTCAGAGGAAAGTGAAAGAAGCCCTTTGGTCAAAGGGAACTGTGAAATAACTTACACATAAAAAGTTTTCTTCCCAATCGGTGGAAATTAGAGAAGGCCTTCCCCCTGAGGGCAGGATCGTTTCTTCCCTCACTCTCCGTCAAACGAATCAGCGGGGGCCTCGCTGCCTTTCCCGCAGCCCTACCCTCACCCACGGCCTCACCGCTGACAGCGACCGGGCTCGCGGCCACCTTGCCCTCCGCCCCTCCCCCACCCCGG